TTCCTGAGGGTTGTGTCAATGGCATTGCTTCCAGAGGTGCTCCTAGCAAGACACTATTTGTGGGGGCAATGACTGCTGCTCCTGGTAGTTTTGATCTCACTGCATTTATCACTTGTTGACTGACTGAGATGATTTCACATTTGGATGGATTCAGGATGAGACCCATTTCCTGTCCCCGTGTCATTACCTGTGTAAGGTCATGTAGGAGGGACTCCTTTGTACCTGCTAGTGTGCCATCATCTAGGAACCAGATGTTTAGCTCGCTGGTCAGTCTGACTGTGATTTCCCTAACTGCAATACAGAAGAGAAATGGTGCAAGAGGATCTCCTTGTTGGACACCCTCCGATGATGTGATTTCATGCTCTCCAAAGAGAAGCATTGATTCCTTGCTATACCCAGCTGAAACAAAAGGGAAGAGACCAGGGAAATGTTCTTTTTACTGCTGCTAATACCACGTCTCTTTTCAGGAGATTGAACGCATTCTTGAAATCTAATTTTACCACTGCTTTGGGTCCTCAGGCAGGTTGTTGATATATGCCCTTGTTGCATGAACCGCTGCTTCACTTCCTTGAGAGACCCCAAAGCCAAGCTGGTTTGGTTGAAGCATCATGGCTGCCTGTGCACGAATACTTCGGACAGCAGCTTTGGATACGAGGCGGCGTAAGGTGTTGCCTACTGCAATTGGCCGAATTCCTCCATCCTTCTTTTTAAGTGCACAAAGTGTTGCACCAAAAAAGAAAGGTCTAATTTCATCAGGAATCAGACCAGCCAAGGAATTGTTGACGAACCTTGTGATCTCTGAAAGCAGTGTCCCCTGCAATTTCCCCAATAACTGGATTAACCATTTCCTTTAAATGCTGTGGCCTTATTCCAGTGTAACCCCCAGCAGAGCCAGATGGGAACGACATTATTGCTTTGTAAATGTCTGAGTCTTCCACAATCAATGGTTCCATAGTGGGGACAGAGGTGTTTTGGAACTGTTGGTGCCACTGGTTTCCCTGGCAGGGTGCTTTCCTCTAAGTGCTTCAGCCGTGTCAGCATCCTGGGAGCAACTGTATCTTCACTGGTAATAATTCTGATTGCCCCCACTGTGTTGCCCTCTTCAATTTTCTTGCTCACCTGGACTCTGACTTTTTCACTGTCAGTAGAGTGAGTGGGGGGTTCTGCCTCTCCCTTTTTTGTGTTGACGGGGAAGGTGAATGAGGTTATCAACTCTAGGAAAATCTCTTAAGGATTTAATTATCATTGAGGCTAGCCTCTTTCCCCTTCTTTCCGGCACAGCTAAGCAGACATTGCCAAAAAGTAGCAAGTTGTGCCATGCCTTGATGGTTGGTGGAGCATTTAAGATAGTGGAACCATCGTTTACTTTTTTCAGGAGGTCTGTAAGTTTTCCAGCTGCGTGTGGACGGGCTGCTTTGGGAATATGTGTGAGTGTCCTCGTACCTGTTGCTTTGATTGCTTCCAAGAGATTGTCTGATGAGATAAAATCATATATATATATATATATATATATATATATATATATATATATATATATATATATATATATATATGCTAGGGAAATCTAAACTTGCATCAGAAACGATATAAAGAAGGAAGGGGCAGGCATGGAATCTGTTTGGCTGCAGTTTATCGAAGGGCATAAAAAGCTAATCTTAGGTGAGATATATGAGCCACCAAACCCAGATATTAACTTCCGTTAACTTTTGTCGGATAAAAATGCTATGGCATCTAGATATGAAAATGTAGTTTTAGTGGGAGATTTTAACTTTACCCAAACTGATTGGAGCAATTTGACAGGAAATTTAGTGTTGTTTTATGAATATAAAATGCAGGACGTCATTTTATATTCGCTATCTCATATTTCAAATTTCTCCCCATTTCCCCCACGCAAATGTTTTTTGCATTGCCTACAGGAAATACAACAGACTTCTGTTTTCCTGTTGTTACAAGGATTCTACATCACTCACGAAATCGTAATGACACGATTGCTTGCAATCGTGTCATTACGATTTCGTGAGTCATGTTGACGGCAGTGAAGGGACTTGAGCTAGAGTTCGGCACGGCCACGCTAGCTGGAGATTCGTCTGTAAAAACATGCATTTGTGGTCACAGTGGTGCCTGTGCTAACCTTCCTATGGTGTAGAAATATACCTAGTTGGACGAATGTTATTGTGGCTAGCTGGTCTAGTGGCTAACGCGACGGGCTGGAGTTTTGAGACTCTCTGACCGCGGGTTCAATCCCGGCCGGGGTATGGTTTATTCTACATCATCCTGTTGGCACTGAAACAAAACTCTCTCTCTCTCTCTCTCTCTCTCTCACACACACAGTGATAAATGGATGGTGGAATTTAACATTGATAAATGCCATGGAATGGAAATGGGTGAAAATGAAAATAGATATTATGAGTATTGTCTCTAGAAAGTATGCACACTCATTGTACAGGATATTATATTATTATAATCATGGGGAGCGATAAACCCGTAGGATTATTCAGCGCCTGCAGGAGGAATGGAACGTACTCAGGCTTAATTCAGGGAACTGGAGCACAGATCCAATTCCCTAGATCAAGAGCCCCTCACCAGCGTCAAGGAACCTCCCTTGAGAGGGTGTACGGGATATAAAGTAACGTATTTAGGAGAACAGTTAATGTATAGAGATATTTCGTATTTAATATACATAATTAATAGTTACAGGTGCTATGCACTCAGTGGTATGTAGGAAACTAATTCTGGCATCACTAATTTGTATTGTAAATATTGTTAACCCTGGATATCATTTTTGGTTCACACAATGATGCAGCTTCTTCCCTTGGTACTTATGGAGATATTTCATTGCTTTTGCTGTATCCAGTTCCTGTAGTATCTTCTTTACGTATTCCTGTCGTTGCTCTTCCACTCCCTGACATCCTTTCTTGCTTCCCTCTCAATACCTCTTTATTTTTTTTTACTTTGTCGCAAACCTCTGTCATCTATTGATCGTAGTTCTTCAGACTTAGCACTTAGTCCTTTGTAATCATTGTGCTTGTACTCACCTATTTGTGTGTGTGTGTGTGTGTGTGTGTGTGTGTGTGTGTGTGTGTGTGTGTGTGTGTGTGTGTGTGTGTGTGTGTGTGTGTGTGTGTGTGTGTATGTGTGTGTGTGTGTGAAAGTTGGTGAGTGTATCTAGTAGATCATGATGCTACAGACTACAATAATAGAGGGTGGGATTCCAGGGGAAGGGGAGGTAAACAGTCTCCTGATAGCACCTGTAACCACAATTCACCTAAGAGAAAGCACACCCCGTCACCACCACCATCTTCCCTAACGCTCCCACCAACAATCACAAGCCTGACTTGCAAGTTTCTCCTTGTTGCAGTAAGCAAACTTCGGAAGAGATTATTATACAACATTACTAACAATTGTGAAGTTTGTCCATTAACAAATCATTCGTGGTATTAAGCACAGGAAGTTGAGGAGGGGGAAGAGAAAGAAATGGGTCCACTGTGTGAACCAGTATCTCCATAGGCACCAAGGGAAGGTCATCATGATACAGATTTTGCAGGGACTTGCAAGTCAGTATAAGGAATATATTCTTGAGGTAGATGATTATAGTAGGACTCTCAGGAAGGAATCGTGCCTATAGGTGTACTCGCCTATATGTGGTTGCGAGGGTCGAGTTAAAGCTCCTTGCCTGGTGTGCTTATGTACTTGTGATTACTTATTTGTAAATACAGAAACAGAGTTGTACTCGTGATGTTCCGTCTTCAGTCTTTACTATTTAAATAGTGTTGACAAGCGTTGGGCGCTTGTCAACACATCCCAGTTTGTGAGACAACACGTGTAGATTTTAAAATCAATTAAACTCTATTGGTTCCTAGCTTCTTATTTACATATAACAACCCACATCTGTGTTATACATAACAGCATTTGTTTAAGACTTACCTTGATTACAGAGAACTAAGTTACAGCTGTTCTTCTCTAGATAAACATATGTGGTTATTCAGTCTTTGTCGACATTTTCACTGCTGCTAATTAAAACTCAGTTATTATTTTCATTTATTATACCAAATGGGATCAAATGGCGTTCTAATTAATTTTACTTTAAAATTTTGTCGTTTTATCGATGCAACAGTTTCCAGTCGGCTTGAATGAAAGATGAGAATGTGGTGAAAGAATAAAGATTGCTTGATGAAGGACAAGTAGCAAGGTAACAAACAGATGAAAGGACAAAAATATCACGATAAAAAAAAGCGTTGGAAACTAGGAATACATTACACAGTATGTGGATGATGCCAATGAGACGAGCAGTGTATGGCCAAATTATTATTATAATAAAAAAAGAAACGTTAAACCACAAGGGCCATACAGCGAGTGTATGGCCAAAGATCTTTCACTGAAACTTCCTCACTGAGGTACAATCATGTACCAAGAAGAACAAGGCGTTAGTATGTCAGGCTTAAGCCTTTTCAACTGTACGAGGGGCATTACGGCTGCAATTCACCTGTACTCTAACCTTAATAATATTTTAACCTCGGAGTGTTAATATATTATTTTAATCTCGGTGTATATACACTGAATGATATACATCTCTGACTGTATATACCATGTGCCTAGAAGTGTATAACCTGAAGCAGTTATCTATGCAAAAACTGTGAAAGTAACTTGTTCATACGCGCGCCGCAACTCTTGTGTTCACTATTGGTGGTAGACTTGGTAATCTCGAGAGAAACTTGCATGATAAACATTTCCCCAATGATAAACACAATTCTTCTCTCCCAATAAAACAGCTGTGAACGTTTGTTTAATAAACGTGCTTCACACAATCCAAGTACCCATCGTCTCCTCTTACTGCTGGAAGGCAACCTTTCCATGACTTCATAAATAGTCGAGTCGAGTTAGGCAACACGTTTGTTTAGTTAGCGAAGTGAGGAACGAGCGCCCACCACTACTCGCACTGAATGACGCACAAGAAAAAGATAGAGATCCTCATTGTTTTAGAAGTCACTTGCGTTACTGAGACTGTGTGGGATCTGTTTTTGTTACAAAGTCGTAAATACATTTCTCCTCATGTCACGCTTCAATAATCTACAAAAATCGTGGATCATTTATCAATAACAAAATATTTTAATTATCAGATAAAGCAGAAGTTTGAGAATTTTATAGATGGATGAGCTCTCTTCTGCTTGAAATTTATTATAAGACATCCTTAAAAAAGCATTATTAATTCCTTATTTTATTCACGGCAATACCTCTTTGTTTATCTTATAAATTTTCTAAATGCAAGAAACATACAATAAATAACTAAACCACATACAAAATATAATTTCTAAATTCCTCAGCAAAATTTTGCCAAAAAAAATTTATTTTGTTTTTTCTATTAAAATAATTAGAGGGTTTGGAGTTCTGGAATCGATAAAGCACATCAATATCAAGGCTGTCCTTTCTTCGTGATGTATTAAGTCATAATAGTTTAACAGTTTAAATCGTCCCGATTGTGAGAAAAATGAGGAATTTACTTTTAAGTCTAGTTACAATAGAAAGAAAAGTATTGGAATTAATGAAACAACTAAGACTGATCAGGCGTGTGCTCACTCTCACAAGCATGTATACAAGCAGGCAGTTATGCACGTGCACATAAATATACACTAGTGCACACACACAAGTGGAAAGGTAAAATAATCATTGCTGCTTTTGCACACGCACACATGTTGACGAGCTCGCGCACACACACAAACATACACAGGAACTGAATCGAACCCTGCAACTACAAATAGGTGAGTACACACACATACACAAGCGAATGTGTATTCACAAACTTGGACGTACACAGAGCTGACACCTGAGGACTGGCAGGTTTTCGACAAAAATTATTTTCTCACTAGATTCAAGTCCTGTATGTATGTATATTACAGGTACACAGTGTCAGTTTGGTCTACTTCTGCTCTGGCATGCGGACCTGGGTACCTTTTTGACCGAATAAACTAAATCTGGAGGATTGGAGATGATCTTGTCCGAATTGGCTGAAACTAGGGGGCTTAAAGTACTGCCTCGTCAATGGAATGCTTTCTTGGCTACACGAGGATACATTGGATGAATACTGTTCTGGGGAATCTAGCAAGGATTCTTCCGTCTCCAAGGAGATGCTAGCAAGCGTCGATTCTGGGGTAATATGGTGCTTCATGCTTCCTTTGCTATAAATGCCCATCTTGTTTAGGGTAGTACTTGAAGCTGAAGGAATCTTTGGTGTTTGTGAAATTCCCGTGGCATGTGAAATCATCAGCGTAGGTTGAATTCCGGGGATATCTGAAGTATTTGGGGTATTCGTCAGAGTTAATGGAGTAACAATTTCGGATTTTGCAGAGCAGGGTTCGTTGATCGAATCAAAAGGCACAGTCAGAGGGGTAACAGATTCCATCTGTCGTGTGTTGTGAGGACCATCAGTAGTGGGGAAACTACTCATCGGTGTAACAGGCTCCATTTTTAACGAAGGCTCCGTACCTGGCGTGCAAGGTTCAGATGAAGGGAGCCTAACATATGAGTTGTTGAACTCATCACTCGGATTATGTGGTTTCTCTTTAGGGATTTGAGAAATTCTGATTTGTGCATCGAGTGAAGGTGCGTGCTTGAGGGAATTGTCCTGAGAGTCGCCGAAGAGTGGCGTGTGGAAGGTCGTGGGCACTGTTATGGAAACGAAGACCTGCCCTTGCGACTCTGGGACGAATGATGGACATGCTCTGTTTTCTGTAGTCATCTGAATTCCTTGTGGGAGACGAGCCACGGATCTGGAGAATATACTTGCATGTTAAAAGTCTGTTCTGATACAAAAAAAAAAATAAGCTAACCCTAGTACAGTACTTTAGTTCTGAATTAATTATATGTACTCATTGTAACAGGAATAGCACGATGAACAAATAAATATTTTTATCATTATACTGTATCTGTGTGTGTGTGCACACAGATTAAACAATAGAGTATCTCCATAACTGTCGTGGTTAGAGATAAATATTCAAAGTAATTTGGGATATTGGCAGTTTGGAGGGATATGTTGTGTATCTTTATACGTATATGCTTCTAAACTGTTGTATTCTGAGCACCTCTGCAAAAGCAGTGATAATGTGTGAGTTTGGTGAAAGTGTTGAATGATGATGAAAGTATTTTCTTTTTGGGGATTTTCTTTCTTTTTTGGGTCACCCTGCCTCGGTGGGAGACGACCGACTTGTTGAAAAAAAAAATTACAAACTCAGCTGATCACATGAAAACACTCTGGTTTCCAGGTACATAGCAAGAACATCAAAACAATGGAAAGTTTCACAAAACAATAACAACAACAGTGAAGCATCTTAAGTGTTTAACGAATGGCATCAGTATGTTTTATTATCTCGTAATTACCCTATAAACAGAACTACTAGGTAAGTAAACAACATGAGACTCACCTTCGTGACATCACCTGGCCCTGTGCTCCCTCCTGGGGCGTGGCTTCACCAGTAGGCTGGGAACTCTCAGAAAGATTTAACTGAGCCATTATTTGGGGTGTAACGAAAGCCCTGGTCCCTGAGTTGGCTTGGGTCCAGGTTTGTTGGGCGATGTAAGCTCTGGTCTGTGGAGTGCTTTGAACTCTTGTTTGTGGGGTGAGCTGGGCTACAGTGTGTAGGGAGGTTTCGTTACTAGCTTGAGTTTTCGTTTGTGGAGTGACCTGGGCCCTAGACTGTGGAGTGAGTTGTTCCCTGGTCTGTGGAGTGAGTTGTTCCCTGTTTTGTGGAGTGAGGTGTTCTGTGGTCTGTGGAGTGAGTTGTTCCCTGGTCTGTGGAGTGAGTTGTCCCTTGTTCTGTAGACTGATTTGGTCTCTTGTCTGTGAAGTGATATGGCCTATGGTCTGTGGCGTAACTTGTGATTTGATCTGTGGCGTGACTTGACCCATGGTCCGTCGCGTAACTTGTGCCCTGGTCCATGGCGTCACTTGACCCATGGTTTGTGGCATAACTTGTGCCCTGGTCTGTGGCGTAACTTGACCCATGGTCTGTGGAGTGGCTTGACCCATGGTCTGTGGCGTATCTTGTGCCCTGGTCTGTGGAGTGACTTGACCGATGGTCTGTGGCGTAACTTGTGCCCTGGTCTGTGGAGTGGCTTGACCCATGGTTTGTTGAGCAACTTGGGGTACTGTCAGATTCATGGCCTGGGGTGTTATTTGAGGCTTGACTACGGGTGTCTTCCTGGACGTGGCTCGAGGCGTTCCTTGATTCATAAGCCGAGGAGTTACTGCGTGCATGATCCTGGGAGTATCCCAGGATGCGGTGTGTGGCGTGGCTTGGGGTGTGTTCTGTGAAGAGCCTTGTGGTGTTATCTCAGCCAAAACTTTAGGTGACGATTGAGGCTTGCCCTGGGATGCTCCCTGCGACTCTCGCACAGGACCTGAGGCTCTGGATGACAAGACAGACTCAACGCAATTTATCAGTGGATTTGCGACGTCTCTCTGCAGCATCGTCCCGCTCTCTAATGCAGACCTGGCATCACTTGCTTCCCCGTCGGTCTTCTCTCTCCTGCTGCGACTGCGTCGTGGTGTGCCGGAGGGAGTGCGGAATCTGGCCGAGTCACTGGATTCCATGGTCATATGGTGGGAACGGCCAGGCGACCCCGGCTTTTGACTATAACCGCGCACCTTTTCAAGTAGGATGTGGAGAGGATCCTTCGAGAGATCATGCGAGAGGAGGAGAGACACTACAGCCTCACACCTCCTCCTCTCGTTCTCGTCCTCCAGTAAGGACCACCTTGGAGGGAGACGCCCACCACGGATACATTCATACACCTGAAGAAAAAGACAAAAGTCATAGATTAGTTTAGAATATTTGTATTACATTTATCCAATGCAAATTTCGTTTACAGATTGTACATCTACCTCCACAAAACGTATATATTAATGTCGATTTTCCTGAAGGTAAAAAAAAATTACTTCCCCCAAAATTTCACATTTACCAAGAGAAAAAATATAACGGAAGCCAGAGAGTCACCTAACATCTCCAAGTATCCTCAGTATCTCCAGGTATCCCTAACATCTCCATGTATCCCTAACATTTCCAAGTATCCCTAATATCTCCAGGTATGAAAATTAAACATGTGTAACATCTTTATTGTAGACGTTTCGTCATCCAGTGGCTTTATCAATACAAAGTCAAGGGCATAATTGGAAGACAGAAAGATGAGGTAATCAGTCCCTCAGCCTTGGAGTCAGTGTGAAGAGCACCGTAGTCTTGAAGAAACTGGAGCACAAGCAATTCTGTTCTAGATTCGCCGGTATAATCGCCCGGCCCTAACCTTTTCCAAGAGGTGGCCCGGCCTTGGCCCCTGTCGAGGTAGTGTCTCAGACCAATGTCTGCCATGGGAGGAGGTACAAATACCTCCTCGTCTTCTGGGACCAGCTGTCCCCAGGCCTAGCCCCATTCCCCACCCCCATGGGGCTCGGAGGGAGAAGCTAAGCACTTTGGGCTGCCACAAACCCTGCCCACACTGGGTTTGAAGGGTGTGGCAGTTATATAGCAGCAGACGATGTCAGGAGGTGCGAAGGCAGCAAGCACTACAGAATCCTTTTGGAGTCACACCCCAGCTTTGGGCATTAGGCCTGAGCACTGGGGAAGCTCAAGAATTCCTCATGCTGTGTGTGTTGTTGCTGCTGCTATTACTGCTACATTTGTTTATTGTACTCTCTAACACAGGCAAGAAGGTTGGCGCTTATATGCTGGCGTCAGGTGAAAAGGGACGGTATAATGGGGATTGTTTGGTGTTCTGGTAGCGGGGAGTAAATGATACGTCTTCGGAGGCTTCTTACTTTATTGTTAAGTCGTGGTGGGTACACAGGCTTGTGTTGTGCCCATGGCCCGGGCAGGGCCATCCCACGAGAGAGAGCTGGGAGTACTTGTGTCTTGCTGCTAGGCCGCTGTGTGTGTGAGAGAGAGGCAAGTCTGGGCATACTGAAGTGGCAAGGCCTATAGGTGGCAGCACCAGCATGGCGCGAAATATGAACTAAGCTGGCAGACAGCATGGGCTGTCTGTGCAGACAGTACAGGCTGTCTACATATGCTTGGCCACCTACCGCGTGTCGTCCCGACGTGACAATACTGGTGGTAAAAGGAACTCGGTCTCTCTCTCGTAGGAACAGGGCACAGAACACAAAATAAAAACATATATATACATATGAACATGGAAAAAAACTTCCTACAGAGAGGGAAGAAAAAAACATGTGGGGTGTGCTAAACATCGTGGTCATAGGCAGTGAGCGTCGATGGGCATCACTGCATGCCTTCTTGCATCTGGACAGATACTGCAACACAGGAGACATCGCTGTGGCTGAGCTGTGACGTAACAGGGTACGGTCTCCTCTGGAACGGTGAAGCAGTCATCGTAGGAGTCGCTGCAGGTTTCACTCAACCTGGGGCACGACAAGCTGGTGCCCTCGAGTGAGGCATCGACAAAACTCGGCAACTGGGCAGGACTTCTGGCAAGCGACTCAGGAGGACACTTCTCGACTGGGACTGTCGCTGGGCTGTCACTGCCGGCGAGCGTGGAGCGAGTTGTGGAGCGAGTCGTGGCAGAGACGACTGGGCAAAACATCTGGGAGTCATAACATCATACACCAGACTGCAGTGAGAGAGCTAGCAGTCAAAGTGACATCTTCTTTGTGCAGGCTGCTCACTGTAGCTTGTGACACGAGTCTGAAACAGCGCCTGCCGACAGTGGCTAACTGCGGCTTGGCGAGTATCATTCTCTCGACAGTTGGAGTTATAGCAGAGGTTAGTCTAAGCATCCCCAGACTTTTTTTCTCTAAACATAAAACCCTGCACCTGACCGGTCTGGAGGTGAAGTGAAACAAATCTCGATGGGAATCATAGCAGGTACGATTCTGCAGAACATCACGAGCAACGAGCATAAAAGCTTTCTGTACAAGGGGGCTCGGGCTCAGGGCTGTCTGATAGCTGGCAAACACACTGGTCACACGGGTGACTTAACACAGTGGTGCTACTCAGGTCTGGCTCAGACCTCACTGGACACACGGAAACTTTACACACCCGCGGTACACTAACGTGAGAACACTGACTGAGAGGAAATTAACACACGACATATATTTTCTCTCAATCTTCTCAACATTACTGAAATAATTACTAGAACACTCGATGTGACATGTGATGTCAGGCGTGATGTCGCGAGGTAACGTCAGCAGACATCTCGAAGTGACGCCAGGCAGACATCGTGACATCCTGAAGTCGGGCAGCATCGTCGGTGACGTCAATGTGATGAGGGCAGCATGTGGCCTGGGACATCTGGTAACTCATGTGGCTGGTAGATCCACGTGACATTGCCCACACCCAACGTGGCGTGGTGATCCACGTGATGTCGTGATCTACGTGGCATGCTGATCCACATAGCTTCGAGTGGCCTCGGGCACTCGGATACACAGCTCTGGCGACGAATTCACACGAAAAACAGCAGAAAACACAGCAGAGGGAGTGGGGCAGTGGTGAGTGTATGGTAGATGGGTGAGCATGAGTAGGGCGAGCATGGGCAAGGTGAGGAACAGCCACTTCCTCTCCTCCTCCCCCACCCACAAACACGTGGAGAAGCTCACACTGGACGCAGAAATCACCACAAAACTCACCTCTGTCTTGCTGAAACAGCTGTGCTGAGCTGAACAACAACAGCAGCAACATACAAGTGACGCTGAACACGTGACTTGAGAAACAGTGTGGGACGCTGTAGCGTGGGGTCATTTACAATTCTCGAAGAAATTCGGTAAATTTCGGCTGGATCCTGCTTGTACCTGTGTCTGGATGCTCAAACGTGCAGACACGACGTCAGGATAACTCGTTGAGAGACGGATGCTTGTTGTGTAGAGTGATGAAGTGAAAATGACTTCATACCTCTTCCTTCCTCTCTCTGGGCAAACAACTGCTGTGACCACCGCTTTCCACCATTTATAACGGGGATTGTTTGGTGTTCTGGTAGCGGGGAGTAAATGATGAACGTCTTTGGAGGCTTCTTACTTTATTGTTAAGTCGTGGTGGGTACACAGGCTTGTGTTGTGCCCATGGCCCGGGCAGGGCCATCCCACGAGAGAGCTGGGAGTATTGTAGGGGTTCTTAAATGGAGATATCGAGGGTTGAAGGTAGACACACTTGTTGGATGGTTACGATATATTGTCAGACTGAGATGATGGGAACTGGAGCCCAGTGCCTTGCCTGTCTTTGCCTGGGTGTCTACGCCAAATGAGACCGGGGCAGAGGTACTAGCGTACACATGCGCATCCCGTGATGTCACACAAAGTCACAGGCCTACAAGGGATCTCCTATCTAAAGCACATGGATGATACTAATATGCTATGCTATATAACACAGGGATCAGCAACTATGCTGACAGCTCGGTCATGTTACGTATGTCGTCTCGACATACACTACTATCTATAGGCTGAAACAGGCAGGCGGATCTGGGCTGATTCTATACAATAACAAATTCATATATAACTTAGAACTAATGGATGGTATCATAATGGATGTTACAACATGAGTTTTACGTAATGGGTGTTAACGTAATGAGTTTTAACGTAATACATTACAAACTATAAAAACAAATCATTGTACAATATGGGTGGAATTGATCGATCGATCTGTATTCATGCACTCTACGGATTCTGAGGAAGAATAAATATATATATATATACAAGGTGAAATTAACAGCAGAGGCATCTGGTGCGCACTCAGACTATTACTGTCAAATTCTCAGAATACGGAGGGAATGTGAACACGAAAATTTCTGACAACTGATCAGCTAATGACAAAACACACAGTTGATAATTTCATTCATCTCGGACATCTAATTATACAGGCTGTTTACACTTAAACCCAATTCTGCGAGGGTAAGGTTTACGTATGCAGAATGGTTATCATCTCTGGGAGGATCGAATTCCTCTGCAATGGCTAACACATGCCTTGACTGAGGACAGTCTGAACGAGTATCTACAAAAGATACAGCTACAATCACTAGTGACTGTGGAATTACTAACTCGTCTGCTAGGAGTACTCAACTCGACTATTCGATACAGTAATTCTTGGCTCATTACAAAGTCACTAATGGGTGTTGGTGGCTTCACAGTAAGAATAAGATCTTCCTGGAGCAGGAATCGAATCACACCAGACCACATGGGATCTGTTCTTTGGGCAGTTTTGACATCCTCGACAGTAAATGGAGGATCTGCAGTAACTACACTAACGTGTCGCGATAAAGCATCTGCGACTACATTCGACTTGCCAGGTAAATGTTCAAAAGTGGGATTGAACTCTTGGATAGTCAAGGTCCATCTGGCTAACCTTCCAGTAGGCTGTTTGTTCTGGAATAAAGGTATCAGTTCTTTCTTACAGGAGGAATGAACAAACTCGGTGGAGTGGATGACTCCCCCCGGTTGAAAAAATTAACGCTATAACATGCAATATGAGCAAGGGAGAACGAATCTACTATCTCAAACTGCAAGCAAAGGGAAAGGAAATGAATACGGTCAACAATGCTGATATTCAATCTGAGTCGCACACAGTGACACGAGGTATCAGCTATAAAGAAACTACACTTACAAACGTTAACAACGTGAAAGTTATTCAAGAAACAACTTCTTACAATGCACTGATTACTGTCAACTAGGATGGGATCACCATCTGAAACACAAGGGACAACAACAACACTCAAGTGAGCACACTAGCCACAGAAACGTCTTTCTGCAACGGCTTGTGGCATCAGCAAGAGATGGCACAACTCGTTGCAAGTAAAGTTCTTCTCAAAGCGTCCCCTGGGAAGGAACGAGTACTTGAACAAGTCGCCATCGCAAGGATAGTAGTCTCAGCACTATCCTGCGTGCATGATATTGTGGCTGGAGTCCAGACAGGAGTGACAGTATTACTAGTGCCTGACCACTCGGCTACATTAATAAGTAATGAACGAATCTATAGGAACTTAATCTGAACTTCACATTTCGCGGCACTTTAACAAATCTCAGATACAAGCTGTGAGAACAAACACATTGCTCAGGGGCTAGGTATTGTCTTTCAGTCAGTAAGAGAATATTGGTACTGTGGACTGATTCATATTGACTTTGACTGGCATGATACACTAAGTGAACGTTCAAAAGTGACTGAGACATCTTCTCAGTGAAATTACTGAAGGGCATAAGTCAAAAAAAAAAAAATAGAGAGAATAACACAATAGGCTTAAACGGGAAGAAAATACTTAACGACTCTGCATAAGTAATTAAAAATTGACAGGTCACACAGTAAGCAAAGAACTCACAGAAAAAAAATATTCAACTGAAATGAACAACACTTTGAAATCAAGAGAACTTGTACTTTACTCAAATCTGATTTGCTCAACTTTTACTTTAAATTGAATGAATGGCACAGTGAGTTGTCTTTACTTTCAATGCAACAGGGAAATGCACAATAAAATGATAAAATGGACTCAATAAAACTTGTGCAAAAATGAAACAGAGGCACAATTCACTGAAATAAAATAAAATGACACAGACAGAATAAAATATTATGCACAGAACAGAGCATATGAAACTGCACTGAAATAATCTGTAGCAATATTGCAAATAATTGCTAATCAAAAAAAACACTGCTTAGAATCTCTGCAAGAAAAACTTTAGTGGCAACACAATATTTGCACAAGAATTATTGCAAAATGAATCAATGTGCAATAAAAAATTTATTACACACACAAGAAAAGAAATATATCAAGGAATGAACACTTTAACTCTTAACTGCAATCAAGCAACACTTAACAAGCAAAAGAACAATTTACTCTAAAAGAAGAACTTAAAAATTGCACTAAGAGTGAATTTGTTCAATGAAACATGAAAAATAATAGGTGCTAAAACACATAACAAAAAAAGTTTGAACACTTACAGTGATGCAGAACACAACACATCAACAAACACAATACTAGAATTTTCTTGCAATGAAACTTGATGTGTGAAAAATTTTGTAAAAATGATTTCTTGCTTGTACAAAATAATGGCACTATTGTCTGTGGAAATAAGACAAATTAGACACTGGCTAAATGAAAGAATATGAACACAAGAATGTTCAACACACAGGGAACAAAACAAGAATACACAAATGCTGGGAAGAAAAAAAATATATAACAGACAACACTGAGTTGTGATGCAGAATATATATAACTGAGACAACACTGAGTTGTGATGCAGAATAAAGCTGATAAATTACTGAAATACTTCACTGGAATACTGAGAACACAAGGTGATTCTGAAGTGTAAACACAAGTTCTATACTGCTCATATGTTGCACACACAACAAAGGAAAAACACTAAGGTACTTACTTCAAGTGTATAAAAAGATACACAACACAACAGACATAAGATAATGCACGAAAATTAACACTGAATAAAGGAGATTAAAAGAAATTAATGCAATCAGTACATGATAAACACTGAGTCTGATCAAGAGTCACTGAATGTCACTAAGAGAAAAATCACTGGAAACACAAAAGAAATGTCTCAACACTCGCAAATGTCTCTATGAAAAAAAATATTATCGCTGTAACGACTTGGTGAAGAATGAGGTTGATGGTAGTGTAGAGTAGAGGATTGTTCATGTCGTCTTGCTGCTGTCCTCTGCACAGGTGATCGTAGAATTGCGCTTACATCGACGATAGACTTCACACAGGAGGCTTTTAATGGTGGCTCAAAACACACTCTAGCTCTTGACCCCCTATGTGGTCCTTAAAATATGGTGCTACAACCCTTAGTAGTTTACCAAAACACTGAAGAAGTTAGGTGAGTGGGTAATGGCTGAGTGAGGCGTCTGAGGCCGCGTGGTGAGTGCAGTTGGGTTTGTGGGTATAACAGGGCTAAGACCGGCAATGGTGCGACACACATGGTCGTGGGTGGCTGGGCTTATGGGTTGAACGGCGTAAGCCCCACTGAGGACAGCCACACTGCTGCGAAGATAATTCTAAGCCGACTGGCTTAAAAACAACCCACAAAATACCACAACACCACAAGGATGAAAAAGAGCACTCAGGATGGCTTGGAGCTTGAATCACAAGCGATGAAGACTACTCACATGGCTTACTTGAGTACTGGGGTAAGACACCTGGGTTAGTTGCTAGCTGGCTTATCTTAACCCTTCACACAGAATAGCTTGATAACTTCACACGATGAGCACAGCAGGGGTGGAAAGCTGGCTTGGCAGGCAAAATAATTGGATGGGGTAGGCTAGGCTCGGCTGGGACTCCGTTGTTCTGATTCCCCCACCACAGACTGGAAGCTGGCTTATTTTGCAAACTCGGGTCAACCCCTTGGGAGTGATGCAAATAAGCAGATACACTAATACAAAGAGACTGACCAGTGAATAATGTAGAAGCTGGTAGGAGCTTGGACGGGAGAACTGGCTTGAGGTAGCTGGTTGGCGTTAACCTCGGTAGGCCTACTCACAAGATGGCCGGCTCAGTCGAAATTTATCTCCAGAAATCGCTGTAATCATCAGAATTACAGGCCCTCCGTTGCCACCATTTATCGTAGGGGTTCTTAAATGGAGATATCGAGGGTTGAAGGTAGACACACTTGTTGGATGGTTACGATATATTGTCAGACTGAGATGATGGGAACTGGAGCCCAGTGCTTTGCCTGTCTTCGCCTGGGTGTCTACGCTGAGTGAGACAGGGGCAGAGGTACGAGCGTACACATGTGCATCCTGTGACGTCACACAAAGTCACAGGCCTACAAGGGATCTCCTATCTAAAGCACATGGATGATACTAATATGCTATGCTATATAACACAGGGATCAGCAACTATGCTGACAGGAGTACTTGTGTCTTGCTGCTTATAGGTGGCAGCACCAGCATGGTGCGAAATATGAACTAAGCTGGCAGACAGCATGGGCTGTCTGTGCAGACAGTACAGGCTGTCTACAACGGTTAGCAAAGGCATTGTCACTGGTAGACGAGATTTCCCAGTGGAAGTAGGTCATACACGAGGGACAGATTAGTAATAGTGAAGATGGTTGTGGAGATGTCCTCTGAACCAAGATTCCATGGTGTTGCAGTGTCTGACAAGTACCGACAAGATGAAAATTAGATACCTGTGCAACATCTGGGTATCTTTATTGTAAACGTTTTGTCATCCAGTGGCTTTGTCAATACAGGGTATAAGTTGAAGGCAGAAGTGACGAGGTAAAGATGATGTAATCAATCAACCATCATGTTTCAGCTTCATATTGTTCCAGACCATGGAGCTGAGCTCTTCTCCAGGCTGAGGGACTGACAACCTCAAACTATTTCTACAAGGTCGATGGACTGATTACATCATCTTTACCTCATCATTTCTTCTACCTTCAACCTATACTCTGCATTTAACTGAAGAAGCCTACAGTATAGGCGAAAAGTTTCACCAATAAAGATACCCAACTGATGTACATGTGTCTTACTAATCATCTTTAAGTGGACGTAGATCTACGTTTGGACAGTTTAAGTGTTAAATATAAAGTGCAGAAATTTATTTACCTAACTGAGGCAGACTGTCATTTGATATATTAATATTATCTATTTATAAATCACCTGAAGACGATAATTTAGACAGGGATACCTGAATGATGCTTTTGGAGGTCAACACTCCATCGGCCCAGACTCGAACTAGACCAGGAGGTCAGTTATAAACTCGAGATTGTTTACCTCCACACTGCCTGCATGAAGCAGTTATGGAGGAGACACTTACTTGGTTGGCTCTCTGGATGAGGTTTTGTGGTACTCCTGAGATTGCGGCGACGGCGGCGGCGTAGCTGGTGTGGGCACGACCCTCAGCCACCTGGTAGAGTGGCACCACCGCCCCATCCTCCTCCACGGCCTCCAGAACCTGCACACGGCATCAACCACACCATTATTTACCTCTCACTTCAACCTAGCAAACTAACTTTATGTCACGCTAAACTAAATAAATTGAACCCTCACGTCAACCTAGTAAACTAGCTATATCACGATAAACTAAATGAGTCCTCACATCAACCTAGTAAACTAATTTTGTCAGGCTACACTTTAAAGAATGAGAATGAGGTTATTCTTAGTATTGTTGGTAAATATTTACTTAATCGCCAGGTCTGAGTTTAGCGATAATTTATAAGAAATGTTCAATTATAAGAGATTAGTGCAAATGAGCGTTATTTTGTGCAGATGGGAAAACCAAAATTAACTCAACCTAAAGAAACCAAATATAACATAATTTAACCTAACGTAACCTAATCTCAAACATCATATGTAACCTTTTCAAATAATTATTCTACAATGGAACTCACACTGCAGAATGCAAATTATGTCAAGAGTCAAGTCACAAGTAACACAGCGAGAAGACATTACTTAAGCGGACTCATGTTGGGAACAGTCAGCGGAAATGCTAATGAGCTGTGACTGGCCGGGCGTGTCACGTGACTAAAAGTGACGCGTGATTGGCAAGGCCGGTCCCTCCTGGATGCATTCTAGCGTACATGCATCATTATGGCTAATATCTCCCAAAATTATTAATTTTCACATAGAATAACTATTTTTGAGAGTGTATGGATAGCTTCTTTATATTTAAAAAAAAAAAGTGTGAGCCAAGTTCACAAGTGGCTGTAAAGTAAATATTTTTTTTTTTTCAACAAGTCGGTCGTCTCCCACCGAGGCAGGGTGACCCAAAAAAGAAAGAAAATCCCCAAAAAGAAAATACTTTCATCATCATTCAACACTTTCACCACACTCACACATTATCACTGCTTTTGCAGAGGTGCTCAGAATACAACAGTTTAGAAGCATATACGTATAAAGATACACAACATATCCCTCCAAACTGCCAATATCCCAAACCACTCCTTTAAAGTGCAGGCATTGTACTTCCCATTTCCAGGACTCAAGTCCGACTATAAGAAAATAACCGGTTTCCCTGAATCCCTTCACTAAATATTACCCTGCTCACACTCCAACAGATCGTCAGGTCCCAAGTATCATTTGTCTCCATTCACTCCTATCTAACACGCTCATGCACGCTTGCTGGAAGTCCAAGCCCCTCGCCCACAAAACCTCCTTTACCTCCTCTTTCCAACCCTTTCGAGGACGACCCCTACCCCTCTTTCCTTCCCCTATAGATTTATATGCTTTCCCTGTCATATACATTATTATTATTATTATTATTATTATTATTATTATTATTATTATTATTATTATTATATTCACTAGAAATCATTAAACCTGAATGGGCCACATAGTCACAAAGAATGAGAGAATGATGCGATGTGCCCCATGGCCTGGTGGCTAAAGCTCTCGCTTTACACGGCGAGAGTCTGAGTTCGATTCCCGGCGAGGGTAGAAACATTGGGCGTGTTTCCTTACACCGGTTGTCTATGTTTACCCCTCAGAAACATGGGTACCTGGGTGTTAGTCGACTGCTGTGAGTCGCATCCTGGGACAAAACTGACCTAATTTGCCCGAAATTCTCTGCATAACAAGCGGCTTCTATATAGTAGTATGTCATTGATCTCAGCTAGGCCTATGTACATGTACTTGTAGTAAATAAAGATATTATTATTATGAGTGAGGAGGTTGCTGACTCACCAGACATCGTACAGCCTCAGGGTTCAGCAGGTGATCATACACCTGTAGCAGATGGGTCGACACGAACACGTGTGGCGGGGCTCCCTCATCTACTCTTCCTTGCCCTATACCACTGTTGCTGCTGCTGTTGATTTCTTCATCTTCCTCCCTCCTGTGACTACTGTTGCTGTTGCCATCCTCTCGCCCTCTCTTCCTGCGTCTGCAGCTTCCCGCGGGGCGTCTTGGGGCTGCCAGTTCGCTCCAGTAATCAAGGCAAGCCGTCAAGAGAGCGGCGCCATCATTCTCATAAGTGGCGGCACCGAATTCGTCAATAATAACAAGAGAATACTGGGTAGCCCTGGCCAGCGCCGCACACATCTGTTACCAACACCAGTAGGGGATCACTTATCACTTATTACGCCCTCAGTTAGCCGCTCATCTACTATTAAGCTCCCCGATTTTAGCGAGCTAAACTGTTTAAATCGGTTACATACACTAAAAACTTTTGGAAGGGGGTAATATGTGTGTGGTTTACTCGAAAAGTTGTGATATTTTTATAATTTGTTTAGTCTTGTGTAGAAATGCTTGTACGTTACAAAATAAACATTGTTCCGAATATAAAAGTACTCAACATGACGGTAAGGTACGTGGATAAATCAGCAAAAGCTTCTTAACTGGAACGTGGTAATCATTCTAACCATAATCGACTATTCTGATCATCAGTTAGATTAGAACACAAAGTCATTGAATTAGAAGACTTGTACCTACTAACACAGAAGACGCTGGTCGAGGACTGCCTAGACTACAATTTTTACATTTTTTTACACTAAATTCTTAAATAAATCCTAACAATTTAATCTAGGCTATTAATGGAAAATGCAGAGGTCTTGAAAGCTGAAAATACAGAGGAGCCAGCAAGTTCGTTGTCTTGAACATTAGAATGACCTGAGACGCGAGAAAAGATGACGTTGTTGTGTCTGGTGAAAATGCAACAGAGCCAACAATGATTATGAAATATGAGGGGGACGTTAAGAATCACCTGACTAAATCTCTTGCAAAGTTCTTGAGAATAGGGTAGAGGGAGGGCTTACCCTGGTGAGGTCCAGCATGAAGGTGGAGAGTGCGGAGGTGACAGGGGGCGTGGTCTGTGTGACGGCGATGATAGCGTCCAGGGGCCTCAAACATGCCCGCCGGGCAGGTACCCAACACCCCACCTGTGCCAGCACTGCTATCACACCCACCTGTATGTATCATGTGTGTATGATAACATGTGTATGATGGCATGTGTATGAAGATATATGTATAGAGATACATGTGTATGATGGCATCTCTACTGTTACTATCCCCACATGTGCAAGAACACACCTGTACTGTTACCATCCCCACATGTACATGAATACCTGTGATTTGACCCCCGCAACCACAACTAGGTGAGTTCTCCTGTACTGCTACCATCCCTACATGTACAAAATACATGTACCGTTACTATCTCCACATGTACAAGAAGACACCTTTCAATCGTTGTTTAAAACCTCCAATTGCATATGTGATTACCTGCTTGCAAATACTGTTATATTCACAGAACAAGAGACTCGGTATGGCTCACTAAACACTACGTGGTAAGGAGGTGCAGACTTAGTACTGAGGTACTGACGTTACAGGACAGAAACATGGAGGAAATCAGTTTGAATTAAGAAGCCACAGAGTGAATGATTTTCAAAGGCGGGGCTTCCAGAGAGAGAATTGTAAGGTAAAAACTGAAGCTGATGTTTTCTCTTATGAAAGGGACAATATTGTACTGTATTTCAGAAGTACAGTATTATCGGTACCCCTTGAAAAAAAATCTTTCAAAACAGCGCGAGAAGCTTCACAGTAGTTGATTCTGCAAGTCTGGTGAGTCCATAACACAATCGCAAGTTTCATGTACCTCAACTGACAGCAATGATAAAAGGTTAGCCACAAAATTCATTGTGCCTGATTAAAAATACGTTCGTGGTGACTAACACATAACTGAGTGGTGGAAATACAGACATATCCGAAGATCCCGGAGTCAATTTTAGGTGAGACAGGACGCATGGGCAAGTCTACTAGCACCTACTGCCTCTGCTCAACTAGTAGTAAGTAGATACTTAGAAGTTAGCCGAATTTTGTGGGTCAAGTTTTAGGAAAACCTAAGAATTCCGGCTAAAATATACCACTTAGCTTGCTTAGGTGATCCTGGTTTAATAACTCTCAAAGGAGACTGGAAGGCTTTGAACTGTGGAACGTACAAGACATCAGCAAGTTCCTTGCTCTGAACATAAGAATGCACAAAGACCCAGCAAAAGACCTTTTTTGAATCTGCCGAAGATGGCACAACCAGTAATGAACATGAAAAATGAGAGGATGCGAGAAATTAATGCTCTGGATCGCTTGTAATACACTTTAGGATTCTGTAAAAATAAACAGAAGTGGATGGCAGCAGCGAGAATTACATATAATTCAGCAAACCCCAGCAGTCGTTGTGTATCCCATAATCAGGAAAAAACCGCAGTGTATCCCACTGAGGATTTGTTGACACCGTTATACACAGCAGCAGCAGCATAGGACTGAGTAGAAATAGTTAAGGAAATGTGAGCACCAGTCTATGACACAGCTGTGAGACTTGGGGAATGGAAAAGAGGTAAGGCATATTTGAACCACAGGCACCTCCATAGCGAAAAACAGGAAAACCAGAAAGATAAGACAGACTAAAGGATTCTATAAGGATCTAGAGACGCAATTTTAAAGAAGGTAATATAGAGGTGTTAGCTTTACTAACATCTGTGATAATTGAAGGTGTCGGCTTTACTAACATCTGTGATAACTGAAGGTGTCGGCTTTACCAACGCCTGTGATAATTGTGTGGCATAGGATCATGAAGGCTAAAGAAGCGAACAAGATAACAGAAACCATGGATATTATAGCGACTCTATAATGATGAGATAAACTGAATGCAGACTTTAGACTGGGGACGAAAAAAAATGTTCGTAGACACAAATATAACAAGTTTTGAATGACAACAAGCTCAGAAAGGAACATATATGGTCTGCATGAATAGGAAGCAGGGTTAGTTTATACAAGACTCAAGCAGGAAGAACCGAATCAGATTAGTTTATATAAGACTAACGAAGACGAAGGCGAAATAAGGTTAATTTATATAAGACAAAAGCAGGACGAGGACGAAGTAGGGAAAGCTCATACAAGACTAAAGTAAGATTAAGACGAAGCCTCCTCAAAAAAGATGAGGTAATTTTCTTTAATAAATTCAAGCTACCAAGACAACGTTTTATGGAGCTTGTGCCAGATTTTCACGACATTCGGTAAAGACAAGGCTAAAAAATTACCTAATTTCTAACTATTTATCTTCTAAATCCATCTAAATCTAGCTGGCTCAGCTTCTGCCTCTCCTCGTTATTTGTGGTTTACCGCAGAGTTCTGTTCCCTAACATTATTATAATTATTCTTTAATGATCTATATAGTACATCTAATATCATCCCCCTCTTCTGCCGACTCATTCACTTCCGATTTTTCTATCGTTTATTAATGAGTGGTATTCTGCAGCCTGAACTGAATCTCACACTGCTCTTATGCATAATTTGACATTGTCCCTCTGTGCCACTTAGTATATATAAATTATAATACAGTGAAACCTTGGTGTTCGAACGTATCGGACCTCGAACAAACGGAAGTCCGGACAATTTTGTTAAGAAAATTTGACCCGGTCTTTGAATGATTTCCTGGAGTCCAAATGCGCTGACTTGTTTAAAATTAAGTTGTAGAAAAACTTTAAACGAAAGCCCTATTTCGAAAGTGCTTAGAAGTGACCTCTGACACTGACCTAACTCTCATAGACTTTTGGAAGAGTCAGTTCAAGATCCTCCAGTGTGAGGCTGATAATTAAAGCCTGGGAAATATTGTTTCGGAAATCGAACTTCTTTTTGCAGCTCGAACACCACCTAGGAACCAATTAAGTTCAAACACCGGGGTTCCACTGTAAATATAATAATTTCCAGTACAAAGCAACAAACTCTTCTTATTTACAAGCTATGAACCTCTTGAACCTCTACGTCGTATCGATATCTTAGGTATTAGTCTCTTCTGATGTGTTCCTTGAACCTCATATTTTAATATTGCCTGAAGGGCCTCCAAAATGACAGGAATATTCTCCAGAATTACGTATTTTAATTATTTATTATAGCTTAATTAAGCCTCACTTACTCTGCTTCCTGAGTACTTTTCATATATAGGAGGGCTGGAAAGAGGTACGAATGCATTACAGTGCGATCCTTTATTAAACACATTTCGGCCATACAGTGGCCTTTATCAAGTCACACATGTATTCGTGAGTGGAAGGAGTTTCCCATTTGGGTCAATGTCAATAAACCCTCTAAAACGGCATGTCTCTCTCCATCGTCTTCGTATTTAATGTCATTTCACTCAATATAGGAAGGCTCTTGATTTAAAGAGCTAGAGCCACCCTCTTCCCTGGATCATCCCTGATTACCCCCCTTTCCCAAGGTGCTATATGACTCCTACAGGTATAGCGCTTCCCCATCTATTATCATGATTAATCACTCAAAAAATATTTGTGTCAGTCTATAAAGTAGAATTTTTTTTTCTTTTGGGCCTACACTACTGACTGGGCAACTTTTCCTTTGTTGTGGCCTAATTAAAAAGAAAAGACAACTAGTATAAACAAAGTAAATGCGAGATAACAATCTGACCTGTTTGAGGTAGACAGTCTTGCCGCTGGCGTTGGGTCCAGTGACGAGAGTGATGCACTGGTGCGATGGGCGACCACTCCTGATGGGGTTGGCGACGAAGGTGGGTGTACATAGCTCGTACAGTGGGTGACGTGCCTCCTGTATCTCCAACATTGGTTCCTCTCTCAACTCCGGCCTCACCCACCCACACTCCCGAGACACCACAGAAAACGCCAGCAGGCTGCACAACCAGGGAAACTAAGTTTATTTACGTATACTAGGAAATGATATAACAATATCCTTATTTCAACAAGTACATGCACAAGGTATACAGTCCTAGCTGACATCAGTGACATACTACTATGTTGTTAGGTAAGACACATATGCAACAGTTAGGTATCTTTATTTCGAAACGTTTCGCCTACACAGTAGGCTTCTTCAGTCGAGTACAGAAAAGTTGAAAGAAGCAGAAGAGACTTGAAGACGATGTAATCAGTCCATCACCCTTGAAGTTTTGAGGTGGTCAGTCCCTCAGTCTGGAGAAGAATATTGTTCCATAGTCCTGTCACTTCAACTCCATATTGTTTCAGATTATGGAACAATACTCTTCTCCAGACTGAGGGACTGACCACCTCAAAACTTCAAGGGTGATGGACTGATTACATCGTCTTCAAGTCTCTTCTGCTTCTATCAACTTTTCTGTACTCGACTGAAGAAGCCTACTGTGTAGGCGAAACGTTTCGAAATAAAGATACCTAACTGTTGCATATGTGTCTTACCTAACAACCTGTCGGTATTTTATACCATTTTAATGACATACTACTATATAGAAAGCCGCTTGTTATAGAGAGCATTTCGGGAAAATTAGGTCAATTTTGTCCCAGGATGCGACCCACACCAGTCGACTAACACCCAGGTACTCATTTTACTGATGAGTGAACATAGACTACCTGTGTAAGGAAACACGCCCGTTGCTTCAATCCTCGCCGGGAATCGAACCCAGACCCTCACCGTGTTAAGCGAGAGCTTTAGCCACGAGGGCACTAACCAATTATCATACACAGTAACATATGTGTAAATTACCTAGGATAACCTCAAAAAGTCAGTGACTTATTTCCATTGGGGGTCCTTGTAATATCTTATTATTTAAAGCCTAACTGTAAGTTACAGCAGAAATCAGTCATGATTCAAATTGATAAATTAGACACATGTGCAACTCTTGGGTATCTTTATTGAGGAAACGTTGCGCCACACAGTGGCTTCATCAGTCCATACGTAGGAGAAACTTGAAGAACAGGAGGAGAATGAGGTAATCAGTCCCTCAACCTTGAGTCGATGTGTTCAGTCCATCAATCTTTAATAGAATACGGCATATGAGCAGAGAAGCAGCTTATAAACCGTATGGCAGGAGAGGTGCAGCAGTCATAGGTGGTGTCACATTTGTTCAATGCGGAAGTAGGTCGTGCCCAAGAATTAGGCAAGCGAAGAATTCCTAAGTATTAAGATCCCAAGAAGTTGCAGTGTCTGACAGGTTTGTAGATGAATGGTTCAGAGAACCATTGGTTCTCTGATGAATGGTTCAGAGAACCATTGGTTCTCTGAACCATTCATCTACAAACCTGTCAGACACTGCAACTTCTTGGGATCTTAATACTTAGGAATTCTTCGCTTGCCTAATTCTTGGGCACGACCTACTTCCGCATTGAACAAATGTGACACCACCTATGACTGCTGCACCTCTCCTGCCATACGGTTTATAAGCTGCTTCTCTGCTCATATGCCGTATTCTATTAAAGATTGATGGACTGAACACATCGACTCAAGGTTGAGGGACTGATTACCTCATTCTCCTCCTGTTCTTCAAGTTTCTCCTACGTATGGACTGATGAAGCCACTGTGTGGCGCAACGTTTCCTCAATAAAGATACCCAAGAGTTGCACATGTGTCTAATTTATCAACATGTCGGTTCTCTGAACCATTCATCTACAAATGATTCAAATTCAAAGTTTATTCTCTATAAGGATTACAATGCTGAGTTTACAGAATTTGGTTATTGTGTGGTTTACATGTAGTAAAATAATGATTACAGAGTGTACCACTAGAACACCTAGCATGGCTAGGCATTTCGGGCAGACTTAGTTTAATTCTTAATTTTAAAATATTACAAATTATGAGGTAAGTTGGTATTATGGCTAAGTGACTAAATACTAGTTTGTGAGTTTAGCAACGTGAATGCTTTTGTTTTGGCACAGTACATAGTTTCAGTATTGGAGTATCACAGGATTCATTATTTTAAAATTGAGATTAATATTTCTGTTTATGGTCAAATGGGTGAGTGAGTGTAAGTGTGAACCACCATGTGGTATTCGTGTAGTTAGTTGACAGGGTGTATCAGGGAGATAAGATGTTTTCTAATGGCAGTTTTGAAGGTGATGAATGTGTCTGCAGTTCTAGAGTTCTCAGGTAGGGTGTTCCAGATTTTAGGGCCTTTGACATACATTGAATTTTTGTAAAGGTTTAGTCGGACACAGGGAATGTCGTAGAGATGTTTGTGTCTGGTGTTATGCCTGTGGGTTCTGTCACAACTATCAAGAAAGCGTTTTAGGTCAAGGTTGATATTGGAGTTTAAGGTCCTGTAGATGTAGATTGCACAGTAGTAAGTGTGGATGTACTGAACAGGGACTAAGTTTAGATCTATGAAGAGTGAGGGGGTGTGTTGCCAGGGATGGGATTTAGTGATTATTCTTGCTGCAGCTTTTTGTTGGGTTATTATTGGCTTTAGGTGTGTTGCTGCAGTTGATCCCCAAGCACAAATAGCATAGGTGAGGTATGGATAAATAAGTGAGTGGTATAGTGTGAGAAGGGTATTTTGCGGCACGTAGTATCGTATCTTGGAGAGGATCCCAACCATTTTGGATACTTTTTTGGTTATGTGTTGGATATGGGTGCTGAAATTCAGGTTGTTGTCAAGGTATAGGCCTAGGAATTTGCCCTCATTATGTCTGGTAATTAGTGTTGTCGATCTTAATGTTAATTTGTGCACCTGCTCTGCTACCAAACATAATATAGTAGGTTTCGTCAGTGTTAAGCGTAAGTTTATTGGCTGTCATCCAAGTCGATATTTTGATCAGCTCCTCGTTAACAATGGTGTTGAGGGTGGCAAGATTAGGGTGAGAGATGACGTAAGTCGTGTCGTCAGCAAAGAGAATGGGTTTCAGGTGTTGGGATACGTTTGGAAGATCATTGATATATATGAGGAAGAGCAAGGGACCAAGGACACTTCCCTGCGGAACTCCAGTATCAAGTGGCCGTGTTGTTGATGCTGTGTCTTTAATGGTGACATACTGATACCTATTAGTAAGGTAAGCTTTGAAATAAGCAAGCGCATGGCCTCTTATACCGTAATGGTCAAGTTTGTGGAGTAGGATGTCGTGGTCTACTGTGTCAAAAGCTTTTCTTAGGTCAATAAAAATTCCTAGTGGATATTCCTTATTTTCCAATGCTGTGTAAAGCAGATCTAGCATTTTTATGATTGCATCATTAGTGCTTTTATTTTTCCTGAATCCAAATTGGCAGGGGTTGAGTATGTTTTGCGCCGTTATAAATGAATATAGTCTCCTGTGCACGAGTTTCTCAAAGATTTTGGATAGCAATGGTAAGTTTGATATTGGCCTATAGTGTTTAAGTCTGTAGGGTCACCACCTTTATGTATTGGTGTAACCCTTGCCATCTTGAGTAGTTTCGGGAAGATGCTAGTTTCTAGTGACTTGTTAAAAAGTAATGAAATAGCATGCGAAAGGACATGGGCCGCTCGCTTGTACAGTAATGGTGGGACATGAGACAGATTCCCTGAGTTATTTTTAAGTGACTTTATAATCTCGGTGACTTCCGTGGGCTCAGTTGGTGCAAGATAGAAGGAATTTGGGAAATTCCCATCTAGGTAGTCCCTGGCATGGGCATTGGTATGTAGGATTTTATTGGCGAGATTAGATCCTATGGTTGAGAAGTCGTTTATCTTGTTAGCTGTGTCAGTGGGATGTAGTGGTGTTTCATTAGGTTTAGTTAGGACAATATTCTTGGTTTTTTTCAGTTTGTGGGTCCCTAGAATCTGAGAGAGTGTTTTCCAGGTCTTTTTTGTATCTCCTCTAGTGTCTGTGAATCTAATGGAGTAGTATAGTTGTTTGGCTTTCTTTATTGCTTTGGTGAGAACTGATGAATAGTGTTTAAGAATATCTTTGTATATTAAGCCCTGTCTATATTGCTTTTCATATTGGTGTTTCTTGTCAATGGATTTCAGAATGGTGCTGGTTAGCCATGGACAACCAAGCCGTTTGTTTGTGATCTGTTTCGTTTTTATAGGACAATGTTTGTTGTATAGTGAAAGTAATTTGTTAAGAAAAATGTCTGTCCAGTCGTCAATACTACTGGCCTTGGAGAATTCTGTAGGCCAGTCAAGTCTCTAGGTCAGCTGTGAACTTCCTTATTGAGGCCTCGCCATGGAGTCTAAATGAGACTTTGTTGTATTCAAGTGGTGGTTTACTAATGTTTGTCAGGAGGAAGGTAGGGTAGTGGTCTGTAATGCTATCTGTGATTATCCCTGATTTAAGGGGGGCTAGTATATTGGTCCATATGTGGTCTATTATGGTTGCACTTGTCTCAGTGAGCCTGGTTGGTTTAGTTATTGTTGGTATGAGAAGTGTGTTGTTCATATTGTTGATGAAATCAGTTACAGGCTGATCATCTAGTATGCCAAGGTTGATGTTGAAGTCTCCAGCTAAGAGAAGGTGGTGCTTATTCATTTGTCTGTTTGTTATTAGTGACTTTAATTTCTCACTGAAATTTGGGATGTTTGTGTGAGGTATCCGGTAAATGGCACCGATTGTTATAGGTGTCTTAAGGTTTTTTACAGTAAAATTAGCAAAAATGTATTCCCCATATTCATCAATAAAGCAAGTGGTGCTAATACAAGATAATTGGTTAGAGTAATAGATTGCAATACCACCCCCAACTTGGTTTGGTCTGCAGTTGTGAATTGCTGTGTCCTGCTTAAGCCAGGTCTCAGTAAGAATAATGCAGGAGAAGGGTGTCTTTAGTGGTTCAAGGAGTGCAAGGAGGTCATCATAGTGTTTGCTTAAGGACCTGATGTTGTAGTTAAGTACTGATGGACTTTTAGCATTGTTTAGGATAGTGGTGGCTTGTGATGCTGTGTAATAAAGGCAGTTACTTTCCAATAGGTTTTGATTAGGTGTCAGATTATGGAGGTTTAGATCAGGGTCAACGTGATCAATCATCTTCTAGGTTTAAATTATGGTTATTTATATCCTGAGTCATGTGTTGAGTTCTAGTACTGATATCTGTAGTGGTGGGAAGTTTGGACATGTATATAGCTAGAGTATTTTGGTCATATAGAGTATAGTCACTAATAATTATAATGAAGTTGATGTTGTCTATGTGTTGTGCTGGAATGAGCTAAAGTACAACTAGGTATAAACTAGTAATATAAAAATACAAATTAAAAATAGAACAAGACTCTCACTTGTAATTGCACTAAGGTCTAATATAATGACTTTTGTGGAGTCTATGTTTTGAGCTAGAATGGGCTATAGTGCAACTAGATTTAATCTAATAATATAAAAATACAAATTAAAAATAGCACCAGTCTCTCACTAGTAATTGCACTATGGTCTAATATAGTGAATTTGGTACTGACTATGTATTGAGCTAGAATGAGCTATAGTACAACTGAGTTTAATCTAGTAATATAAAAAAGGCACAAGACTCTCAATTGTAATTGCATTGTAGCCTTAATGTTATTATCCTAGGTAATCTAAACATATGCTGCTATGTATGAAAACTTATGTAACTGCATTTATGTGTACCTGTACCTGAATAAACTTACTTATGGGTTACTTTGCGAGGAATCATGCTATTTTAACTATCAGTGGCTTTAAGTCCAATATTTAGTGAGGAAATACATTACACTATTTTCAAGAGAAGGTTCAAAATTCCAGGTACTTCATATTTTTGTACATTCCAACAGTTCTCAAATATTAAACATCTCTTTTTTGTAGACGTTTCGCCATTCAGTGGCTTTATCAATACAGATTCTAGGACATGATTTGAAGACAGAAGAACTATATACAAAAGATGAGGTAATCAGTCCCTCAGCCTTGGAGTTGGTGTGGAGAGCACTGTAGTCGTGTAGAACAATATATAAAGGTAGGGAAGCTTTCATTGCTTTTATGGATTTAGAAAAGGCTTATAATAGGGTGGATAGAGGAGTAATGAATCACATGTTGCAAGTGTATAGCATAGGTGGTAAGTTACTAAATGTTGTAAAGAGTTTTTATTAGGAGAGTGAGGCTCAGGTTAGAGTGTGTGGAAGAGAGGGAGATTGCTTTCCAATAAAAGTTGGTCTTAGACAGGGATGCGTAATGTCACCATGGTTGTTTAACATATTTGTAGATAAAAGAAGTAAATTCTAGGGTGTTGGGGAGAGGGGTGGGATTATATTATCCGGATTCAAATACAAAATGGGAGTTGACACAGTTACTTTTTGATGAAGATACTGTGCTTTTGGGAGGTTCTGAAGAGAAATTGCAAAGACTAATGAACGAGTTTGGGAGGGTGTGTAAAGGAAGAAAGTTGAAAGTGAACATACATAAGAGTAAGGTAATGAGGGTATCAGACGATTTAGATAAGAAAAAACTGGATATCAGATCGGAGGGAGGGAGTATGGAAGAGATGAATGTGTTCAGATATTTGGGAGTAGACTTGTCGGCGGATGGGTTTATGAAGGACGAGATAAACCATAGAATTGATAAATAAAAAAAGGTGGGTGGTGCACTGAGGTATCTGTGAAGACAAAGAACATTATCCATGAAGGCGAAGAATGGAATGTATAAGAGTATAATGGTACCAACAATTATATGGATGTGAAGTATGGGTTATAAATGTTGCAGTGAGAAGGAAGCTGGAGGCAGTGAATATGTCGTGTTTAAGGGCAATGTGTGGTGTAAATGTTATGCAGAGTATTCGCAGTGTGGAAATTAGGAGATGTGGCGTTGCTAAAAGTATTATTCAGAGGGTTGAGAAGGGGTTGAGGTGGTTTGGTCATTTAGAAAGGAGGGAGCAAAACAGAATGACTTGGAGGTGTGTATAAATTTGTAATGGAGGGAAGGAGGGGTAGGGGTCGTTCTAGGAAAGGATGGAGAGAGTAAAATAGGTTTTGTGTGCAAGGGGCTTGGACATACAGCAGGCATTTATGAGCGTGTTGGATAGGATTGGAGACGAATGGTTTTTGGGGCTTGACGAGCTGTTTGAGTGTGAGCAGGGTAATATTTTGTGAAGGAATTCATGGAAACCTGTTAGCCGGACTTGAGTCCTGGAAGTGGGAAGTACAATGCCTGTTCTTTAAAGGAGGAGTTTGGGATACTGGCTGTTTGGAATGACATCTGAACTGTCTGCAAATACAGTGATTATGTGTGAATGACGGTGAAAGTGTTTTTCTTTCCTGGGTCACCTTGCCTCGGTGGGAGACGGCTAGCGTGTTGGAAAAAAAATATGAGTAAGCTACGTTTCGCTCTCCAGGAGCCTGATGAAGTTCCTGGAGACTGTAACGTGGCCGTAATAAATGTTTCATTAATCGAGTCTGTGTCCTTTCACCTAAAAATCAAGTTTCTAGCAGATCACTGATATGATCAATTAGAGATTAACATGTTCTAAGATTTTCCTTCAAAAAACCGAAACAAGTGAAATTAGAGACAATGGATAAAAGGTCTTGATTATGTAGACGGTAAGTTTGAAACGCCACTGACCAGTCAAGCATGAGGATGTGTTGGAGGAGAGCGAGGAAGTGCTGCGCCTGCTGCACCACAGTCTCCACCAGACGCATCATGATCCGCGTCTCGTGGTTCGCGATCTCCACCTGGATGTCTCCCAGCTCACGGTCCAACTCTGCGGTAACACTTGCTTTACTGAAGTCAGGAATCTTTTATTCGAATATTAAAAAATTAGTGAAACAGGAAAAGCCAATCAGCAGCGCTTATTTACAATGGGTTCGTTTGATCTTTTTCCCCCCCAAGATGCGACCCAAAACAATCGGCTAACATCCAGGTACCTACTTATAACTATGTGAAATATACCTAGTCTTCCGCATTTATATACATACAGTTTATTGTCACTTATGTACTGGAAAATCTTTTCAAAAAAATGAAAAATAATAGACGACCTCCGTTTTTACCAGTCACTATACAACAAGAACTACCAATAGTCGAGCAGCGAAGGACCTCCGTCCTTACCCGGCCACTATACACGAAGAACTACCACTGGTCAGTGAAACAGTGAATGACCATCGTTCTTAGTAGGTCACTATATATAAAGAAGTAACGACCAAAGTAGACCGTCTAACGAGGACTGGCTAATTCTCTCTCTCAAACGCGCGCGCACGCACACACACACACACACACACACACACACACACACACACACACACACAAAAAAAAAAAAAAAAAAAAAAAAAAAAAAAAGGCCAGGTGTCTATCGACAAATGCCTCTCACAACGTGTAACTAACACACAAACGACGTCAAGCGTCTATCCACAAGTGCCTTTGACAAACTTTACTTAGCATGCCCACGCACACTACCCTCCCCCCCCCAAGACACATTACTATCAATAAACCCACACTTAAAAAGCATGTTAAGAAACTTAAAGTGCAGAAGCATGTATGCAACGAGGCTAACGGATTTTAATCTAACGACACTGGAGACAGAAGAACTAGGGGGGATATAAAAACATGCAAGATACTCAGAGGACTCAACCAATGCAACAACAAATAGGTAAGTACATATAGGTGAATCTATATATATGTGCTCACACATTCTTTTACATACACACGCATTCATATATACATAAATACGGAAACGTACATTCATACATGCATAAGCACACACATACGTTTTCGCACACAAATACAAAATTAGTCACTGCATATTAAATAGTAATAATTCCAATAAGAATCACATTGCACAGTAATATAACATATACAAAGTGATTGCGGTCCCCAGGCGTGTATGTAACCACAAACAACAGATGGCAACATGGTGGAGACTGACCCAAACAAGTTTGGCTCTTGTATAGGACCATGTCAGCTGTCTTGAACATAAATTCGAGGCCGGGTAGGGTGTAGTCGTGGGCGCTGAGGGTGTCGTTGAAGGCGGGTGTGGGGGAAAAGGCAAGAAGGTAGCCCACATGAGGCAGGTAGATGATACAGCAGGATTCGACCTCCTCAGGTAAATGGGTCAGCTCTAACTCCGCAATCCGACGCATCACTTCGCCCAGACCGTTGAAACGACGTTTTTCTGCCAGCAATAATAACACGAGTTAAACAAATGCACACATGGTGCTTAAACGTACAAACATCCCACAAATTGAAGGTAAAATTAAACGGCGTTTCTCCTCGTTCTAAATGGGGAGTTGATAAGGTAATGTAACATATTATTATTATTATTATAATCAAGGGGGAAGCGCTAAACCCAGAGGATTATACAGCGCCTGGGGGGGGGGGGATGTGGAAGGCATTCAGGCTTAATTCGGGGAACTGGAGCACAAATCCAATTCCCTAAATCAAGAGCCCCTCACCAACATCAAGGAACCTTCCTTGAGGGGGTAATGTAACATAAATAACACCGAGGCTATCCTGGACCATAAACAAGTCGGGAGCAACTCTATTATGCTCTAAGACGAACTAAAAAATCGTCTATTTTTTATTTTTAATGTGTGTGTTTGAATTGTTCTAGTCACGGTATTGTGACCTTTATTTTTCTTCACACAGGGCCAATCTCTTTTATGTGTTTTGTCGTCAAAGTGTGGGCTTTCTCTCTCTCTCTCTCTCTCGTGTGTTAGTTACCATTTTGTCCTAGGCACATGTCGATTAGACATTAGGCCTGTTGTATATGAGTACGTGTGTGTGTGTGTGTGTGTACTCACCTAATTGTGGTTGCAGGGGTCGAGACTCAGCTCCTGGCCCCGCCTCTTCACTGATCGCTACTGGATCCTCTCTCTCTCTGCTTCCTGAGCTTTGTCATACCTCTTCTTAAAACTATGTATGGTTCCTGCCTCCACTACTTCACTTGCTAGGCTATTCCACTTGCTGACAACTCTATGACTGAAGAAATACTTCCTAACGTCCCTGTGACTCGTCTGAGTCTTCAGCTTCCAGTTGTGACCCCTTGTTTCTGTGTCCCCTCTCTGGAACATCCTATCTCTGTCCACCTTGTCTATTCCCGCAGTATCTTGTATGTCGTTATCATGTCTCCCCTGACCCTTCTGTCCTCCAGTGTCGTCAGTCCGATTTCCCTTAACCTTTCCTCGTACGACATTCCCTTGAGCTCTGGGACTAGCCTTGTTACAAACCTTTGTACTTTCTCTAACTTCTTGACGTGCTTGACCAGGTGTGGGTTCCAGACTGGTGCTGCATACTCCAGTATGGGCCTAACATACACAGTGTACAGTGTCTTGAACGATTCCTTATTAAGGTATCGGAACGCTATTCTCAGGTTTGCCAGGCGCCCGTATGCTGCAGCGGTTATTTGGTTGATGTGTGCCTCCGGTGATGTGCTCGGTGTTATGGTCACCCCAAGGTCTTTCTCCCTGAGTGAGTGTGTGTGTGTGTGTGTGTGTGTGTGTGTGTGTGTGTGTGTGTGTGTGTGTCTGTGTGTGTGTCTGTGTGTGTGTCTGTGTGTGTGTACTCACCTATTTGTACTCACCTATTTGTGGTTGCAGGGGTCGAGTCCTAGCTCTGGCCCCGCCTCTTCACCGGTTGCTACTAGGCCCTCTCTCTCCCGCTCCATGAGCTTTATCAACCTCGTCTTAAAACTGTGTATGGTTCCTGCCTCCACTACGTCATTTTCTAGGCTATTCCACTGCCTTACAACTCTATGACTGAAGAAATACTTCCTACTATCTCTCTGACTCATTTGTGTCTTCAACTTCCAATTGTGGCCTCTTGTTTCTGTGTCCCTCCCTGGAACATCCTGTCTTTGTCCACCTTGTCTATTCCACGCAGTATTTTATATGTCGTTATCATGTCTCCCTGACCCTCCTGTCCTCCAGTGTCGTCAGGCCGATTTCCCTTAATCTTTCTTCATAGGACATTCCCCTTAGCTCTGGAACTAACCTTGTCGCAAACCTTTGTACTTTCTCTAGTTTCTTGACGTGCTTTATCAAGTGCGGGTTCCAAACAGGTGCTGCATACTCCAGTATGGGCCTGACATACACGGTGTACAGTGTCTTGAATGATTCCTTACTAAGGTATCGGAATGCTGTTCTCAGGTTTGCCAGGCGCCCGTATGCTGCAGCAGTTATTGATTGATGTGTGCTTCCGGAGACAGCTCGGTGTTATTTTCACCCCCAAAATTTTTTCTCCTTGAGTGAGGTTTGCAGTCTTTGGCACCTAGCCTATACTCTGTCTGTGGTCTCTGTGCCCTTCCCTATCTTCATGACTTTGCATTGGCAGGATTAAATTCGAGAAGCCATTTGCTGGACCAGGTGTCCAGTCTGTCCAGGTCTCTTTGAAGTCCTGCCTGGTCCCCATCAGATTTAATTCTCCTCATTAACTTCACATCATCTGCAAACAGGGACACTTCTGAGTCTAACCCTTCCGTCATGTCGTTCACATATACCAAAAATAGCACTGGTCCTAGGACCGACCCCTGTGGGACCCCGCTCGTCACAGGTGCCCACTGTGATACTCATTACGTACCATGACTCGTTGTTGCCTCCCTGTCAGGTATTCTCTGATCCATTGCAGTGCCCTTCCTGTTATATGCACCTGATGCTCTAGCTTCTGCACTAATCTCTTGTGAGGAACTGTGTCAAAGGCCTTCTTGCAGTCCAAGAAGATGCAATCAACCCACCCCTCTCTCTCTTGTCTTACTTCTGTTATTTTATCATAAAACTCCAGAAGGTTTGTGACACAGGATTTGCCTTCCGTGAATCCGTGCTGGTTGGCATTTATACTCCTGTTCCGTTCCAGGTGCTCCACCACTCTCCTCCTGATAATCTTCTCCATAATTTTGCATACTATACACGTCAATGACACAGGTCTATAGTTTAGTGCCTCTTTTCTGTCTCCTTTTTTGAAAATGGGAACTACATTTGCCGTCTTCCATACATCAGGTAGTTGCCCAGTTTCCAGGGATGTGTTGAAGATTGTGGTAAGTGGCACGCACAACATATCTGCTCCCTCTCTAAGGACCCACGGAGAGATGTTGTCCGGTCCCATTGCCTTTGAGGTATCGATGTCCCTTAGCAGTTTCTTCACCTCCTCCTCATCTGTATGTATGTCGTCCAACACTTGTTGGTGTATTCCTTGCTGGTGTCCCCATCTGGTCTGTCCCCCCAGAGTCCTTCCTGTCTCTACTGTAAATACTTCCTTAAATCTCGTGTTGAGCTCCTCACATACCTCTTGATCGTTTCTTGTGAGTTCTCCACCTCCACCTGTGTGTGTGTGTGTGTGTGTGTGTGTCTGTCTGTCTGTCTGTCTGCCTGTCTGTCTTTCCATCTGCTTGTCTCTCAGTCTCAGGGAGCAGCTCGTAAACCAACAGGTATTACACATGATGCAGTTGTCACGTCTGATTCGTGAAAAGGTATTTTGTCTTATATCTACAGGCACCGTATAGCACGTTGCTGGAATTTTTGGGTTATCCTAGGTAATTTATACTATGTATAATAACTGTCCTTATGTGTACATATGAGAGAGACAGAGATATAGACAGATACAGAGAGAACCAAAGTCAGTCAGTCAGACCGACCGACTGACAGTCAATCAGGCGGCCAGCCCGCCACCCAGCCAGCCAACCAACCAGCCACCCAGCCTGCCGAATACATACTACACGTTCCAGAACCATTTCTCTTTACTTAGGGCATAGGTTATGACACTAGGGCAGGATGACACTACCAGTGATACCTAAAATGAAAGGATGTTGCACAAGTGTTACACATGGGTTATTATCGAGGTTTTTGATATTTCCTCAACCACTTGTGGCCACATCCATCATTTTCCTCTTAAAAGGGGAGTGTTAATACATGACATAAGTGAATCCCTGGTGTTTGCCATGCTATTTGCTCTAGCTGGTGCTCCCACAAGGTGTGTGTGTGTGTGTGTGTGTGTGTGTGTGTGTGTGTGTGTGTGTGTGTGTGTGTGTGTGTGTGTGTGTGTGTGCGTGTGTGTGTTTGCTCTTGCTTGCTTGCTTGCAGGAGTCGAGTCTCAGCTCTTGGCCACATGTCTTCACTGGTTGCTATTAGGTTTACTCCTGGTTTCGAAAGCCGTACCGTACCTCTTCTTAGGGGCACGTAAGTTTCCCCGTCTTCTAATAACATGTTCATTTTTCAACTATAATCTACATTGTCCATAATTACTATCGCATTTGCTTTGTCTGTTTCGTAAGGTGAAGTCTATGATCTTTCCTTAATTCAAGGTATAACTTAAATCTTTGAGGACAATTGTGGTGTGTTGCAGAGGTCTGCAACACAATTGTCTTCAAGGATTTGTTAAGTTATACCATAAATTAAGGAAAGATCCTGGACTTCACCTTACGAAACAGACAAAGCAAATGCGATAGTAATTATGGACAATGTAGATTATAGTTGAAAAATGAACATGTTATTAGAAGACGGGGAAACTTACGTGCCTATGTATGGATCCTCCTTCTACCACTTCATTCTCCAGGTAGTTCCATTTCCTGACTTTCCAGGCTGAAGTAATTCTTCCTTACGTCCCTGTGACTCATCTGAGTTTTCAACTTCCAGTTGTGCTCTCGTGTTCCTGATTCCCATCTCTCAATTTGTCGCTATTCACCCTCTCAATTCCTTTCAGTACAGCATTTTGTACGTTGCTATCAAATCACCCTTAGTTCTTTTGTCTTCCAGTGACATCAAGCCGAGTTCCCTTAACGATTGACCTCTCCTCAGAGAACATACTCTTTAGTTCCGGAACTAATCTCGTTGCAAATCTCTGCACATTCTCCAATTTGGTGCTGCATACAGCAGTATGGGCCTGATGTACACAGGGTCGTGAATGATTCCTTATCAAGATGTCTGAAAGCTAGTCTTAGATTTGCCAAACGTGTCGCGGGGTTCATGAGAAGAATGAAAGTAGCAATGACACCCAAATGTTGAAGGGATGTATTACGGGAAAAAGACAGAGCCCAGCTTTTGTCACACGTCTGCCTGCCGCTTAGGTCGGTGAAGTTCAAAACAACGCTTGTAAACAGTTGAGGACATTTATTAAAGATAACTTTTCGCCAGGAGTGGCTTTATAATTAGAACTGATGAAGCCACGCGTGGCGAAACGTTTCATATATGTCCTGAACTGTACACAAGTGTCCACAATCACATGTCGGTATCGCCATATCATTAACAACCTTACATTAATCTGTATATACACAAGCATATATAAACAGGTATATACGTACACTTGAGTATATAAATACATTGATGGAGAGCAGTACACTTACTGTCATCGAGCTCGGTGTCAACACCAGGCTTGACGACGAACCTGGCTTCCCGCTCTGACTGTTCCATGTCCATGATGCGCTGGATGAGGAAGGTGGCCCGGTACAACCCCTCCGTCACGCTCTCACCTGTCTGTCCATATACCAAGACATTCTTAATACTGGAGTCGTCAGGGAAAAACAAATCACCTGATACGCGTCTGTCATTTGGCACGTTGCGTGGTAAGCACTATGGCAGAGGCAGGTGTGTCTGACAAGTGCATGAGATTCATGATTAACTGTACTGGAAGAAGAGACTGCTGTACGAGAAGACGCAAAGAGATGCTAAAAATACGCACAGACGTACACAGGATGAAACAGGAGAGACAGTGTCATATCTCTGACATTCACCATTCTGTACTGGACTCATGAAGCCCCTGGTGGGCGAAACGTGTACTTATTAAATGTCTTAATACCTACTTACGTGTCTTTTGTACATGCAAATATGATAATATAGAGTTAACGGAAAACTTGCTTATTCGTGTCTTTAATACATTAAAGCATCTATTGAAAAAACATTTTAAGATTTTAATAATATTTTAAGTGTAAATGCGAGGATATATGAAATATACTAATAATATTTAGGCTGCATCTCGAAAATGACAATAATAATTAACTGTAAGAGTAGTCATAAAGACAGGGTTACAAAACAGAGTGAAATCTTAGAAGAGTGGGAAGAAGAATAATAAAGATGGATGACTTTGAGGGTAAAGAGGCAGAAGTGTTAACCAGTTAAAATGTCACTGAGAGAATCTACAGTTTAATCAAGTTGGGACTTTCAGAAATTAGGGTAGACAAATTTTGCATTTTCAGGTCAGCGAATGTGTAGTAGAAAATTAAGCTAATATGCTTTCTGTTCTTATTATCATATAAGGGAGAGTTAAACCCGTAGGGATTATACAGTGCCTGTGGGGGAGGGAACTGGATGGAGGGTATTCAGGCTCAATTCAGTTACCTGAATTGAGCCTGAATGCCTTCCCTAGATCAAGAGCCCCTCACCAGCATTAAGTAACTCCCCTTGAGGGGTTATATGCTCTCTGGTTAACGTTGGAATGTTACCACCACCACCATTATTTTTGCAGTTTAGTGCTGCGAGTCTGGTGTGTCCAGTAGGTGGTCAATGAAAACAATGAAAGGATGGCAAAAAAAGAAAAAAAAAAGAAAAGAAAAACGCTTATCATTTGATTAGAAGTAGTTTGTCGGTCGCTAATACAAACTACGGTGCCGACAATCTTACGAACATTAGTCAGTACTGTAAAATAATTGAAAAATGGTAATCTTCAGCGGGATATTAGAAGGTTTTGAAATAAGAAATGTGCAAGATGAGACTTGAAGTCCAGTGCCTTCAACTCCAAAATTGCTAGAAACATACACAAAAAATGCTTTTTTATGTGTTTAAAATAGAACATAACAGGTATTGAATACTAACACGCTGAGTGTGACACTACAACACATGATGAGACAGACAAGGTAGCAATGTGGATGACTTGCGAGAAGTGCGTCATCTCTGCTCTCAAAAATGACCTAACTGTCATCCTTGCATCATACAGTCAAGAAAAATAGAAGCAAATCCTTCTTCGTCAGAGGAATTGGAGCCAACCATATACTTATTATTATTATTACATTCATGAGAGTGTTCTAAACCCCCACGGATTATTCAGAACCTAGAAGGATGGGAGGTAATCAAATTTGATCCAAGGAAGGGAAAGTCAGGTCTAATTCTTCAGATCAAGAACCCCTCACCGGCGTCAAGGAACCCCTCATGAGAGGTCGACTGATGTACAGAGTGGTAACGTGTGTGTGACTGGTAAGGATTAATGAAGAGTGAACCCGAGTCTAGAGCAGAGAAGTGAAACTGAGTGGGGAAAACAAGAATCAGGAAGATGAGATAGACCAAAAGATCCTACAAGGTTCTATACGCATACATTAAAGCGACATATAAAGTTTAGGACCTAGTGAAAATGTAAGCTCTACCAACGTGTGTGGGAGCTCTACAGGTCGTAGACGTAGACTCCTGAAGCTCATGCAAACAACCATTAAAATTAGAGAGTGGTTATGGAAGCACCATATACCTGGTCTTCCTTACCTAAATTAGATAAGATTAATGCAGAATGAAGATGAAGAATCTTTCCATCAACCTCCCCTTGGAAAAAGTTGAAAATTTTGTATATTTACCCTACTAAAGAACACAGCTTTAAGAAAAGTATGTAATGCTTCTATGGTTTTCAGCAATCAAAGTAGAGACTACAAAATGTAACAGCAGGGAATGAGGAACGACTTGGATGCCGTGAGAAAGTTATTGACCAGGCTTAGATACAGACAACCTGATTATTATTATTATTATAATCAAGGGGGAAGCGCTAAACCCGGAGGATTATACAGCGCCTGGGGATGGGGGGATGTGGAAGGCATTCAGGCTTAATTCGGGGAACTGGAGCACAGATCCAATTCCTTAAATCAAGAGCCCCTCACCAACATCAAGGAACCTTCCTTGAGGGGGGACAACCTGGAGCCGTGTGATGAAGCACAATTGGAAGGTCAGTCAATACGTAGAACATTATAAAGTGGCACTCAGATGTCCATCCTTTACGGCATAAGCAATGACGAAATTTTCAACAAACACAGGAGATAGAACTAAAGCGAGTCTGTTAACTGAGACTAGAAACAAGGTGCTGAGGACGTAGTTTGGTGATAACCCTTTGTCTTGAAGGACATCTGGTCAGACGCTGTTAGTGCCTCAGAGGCTATGTTTAGTGAAAAAGTTGCAAATATTGCATGGGAGTGACTGCCTTACATTGCGATACTCAGATAAATGAAGATGGGTTGATCATTTGTCAATTGATATAGAGATGGTATTCTCATATGATTGGAGATGGTGTTCTCACATGTTTGAAGATGGTGTTCTCACATGTTTGAAGATGGTGTTCTCACATGTTTGAAGATGGTGTTCTCACATGTTTGAAGATGGTGTTCTCACATGTTTGAAGATGGTGTTCTCACATGTTTGAAGATGGTGTTCTCACATGTTTGAAGATGGTGTTCTCACATGTTTGAAGATGGTGTTCTCACATGTTTGAAGATGGTGTTCTTACATATTTGAAAATGGTGTTCTCACATGTTTGAAGATGGTGTTCTCACATGTTTGAAGACGGTGTTCTTACATATTTGAAGATGGTGTTCTTACCTGTTTGAAAAGGTTCTTACCTCCAGACATAATGACCTTATTACCCTCAGACCTAATGACCTTGTTACCCACAGACATAATGATCTTGTTACCCGCAGACATAATGACTTTGTTACCTGCAGACACAATGACCTTGTTACCCGCAGACATAATGATCTTGTTACCGGCAGACACAACCTTGTTACCCACAGACATAATGATCTTGTTACCTGCAGACACAATGACCTTGTTACCCACAGACATAATGATCTTGTTACCCGCAGACATAACCTTATTACCCGTAGACATAATGATCTTGTTACCGGCAGACATGATGACCTTGTTACCTGCAGACATAATGAGCTTGTTACCTGCAGACATAATGACCTTGTTACCTCCAAACTAATAACCTTATTACCTGCAGACATACTGACCTTGTTACCTGCAGACATAATGACCTTGTTACCTGCAGACATAATGACCTTGTTACCTACGGACATAATAACCTTGTTACCTGCAAACATCCCCTCAAGGGAGGTTCCTTGACGCTGGTGAGGGGTTCTTGATCTAGGGAATCGGATCTGTGCTCCAGCTCCCCGAACTGAGCCTGAATACCTTCCATTTCCACCTATGGGGTTTAGCGCTCTCCCATGATGATAATAATAATACCGCAGACATAATGTTCTTACCTGCCTAAAAATAGGTATTTCCTTGTCGTGAGCCTGACATAACTCGCCCACCAGGATGGAGTTGAACAGAGACTGCAAATAAAGCACAAATAAACAATAAAATAAATTATATTTTTGTGTTATATCAGAAAAATAATCTATTATAAAATTAAAACATTTAAGTTTACTCAGCTGGAGATCTTTGTGCAGCTGACGTTACTTGTACAGCATGTTTGTGCAGCTGACGTTACTTGTACAGTATGTTTGTGCAGCTGACGTTACTTGTACAGTATGTTTGTGCAGCTGACGTTACTTGTACAGCATGTTTGTGCAGCTGACGTTACTTGTACAGTATGTTTGTGCAGCTGACGTTACTTGTACAGTATGTTTGTGCAGCTGACGTTACTTGTACAGTATTGTTTGTGCAGCTGACGTTACTTGTACAGCATGTTTGTGCAGCTGACGTTACTTGTACAGTATGTTTGTGCAGCTGACGTTACTTGTACAGTATGTTTGTGCAGCTGACGTTACTTGTACAGTATGTTTGTGCAGCTGACGTTACTTGTACAGCATGTTTGTGCAGCTGACGTTACTTGTACAGTATGTTTGTGCAGCTGACGTTACTTGTACAGTATGTTTGTGCAGCTGACGTTACTTGTACAGTATGTTTGTGCAGCTGATGTTACTTGTACAGTATGTTTGTGCAGCTGACGTTACTTGTACAGCATGTTTGTGCAGCTGACGTTACTTGTACAGCATGTTTGTGCAGCTGACGTTACTTGTACAGTATGTTTGTGCAGCTGACGTTACTTGTACAGTATGTTTGTGCAGCTGACGTTACTTGTACAGTATGTTTGTGCTGCTGACGTTACTTGTACAGTATGTTTCTGCAGCTGACGTTACTTGTACAGTATGTTTGTGCAGCTGACGTTACTTGCACAGTATGTTTGTGCTGCTGACGTTACTTGTACAGTATGTTTGTGCTGCTGACGTTACTTGTACAGTATGTTTGTGCAGCTGAAGTTACTTGTACAGTATGTTTGTGCAGTTGACGTTACTTGTACAGTATGTTTGTGCAGCTGACGTTACTTGTACAGCATGTTTGTGCAGTTGACGTTACTTGTACAGTATGTTTGTGCTGCTGACGTTACTTGTACAGTATGTTTGTGCTGCTGACGTTACTTGTACAGTATGTTTGTGCAGTTGACGCTACTTGTACAGTATGTTTGTGCAGTTGACGTTACTTGTACAGTATGTTTGTGCAGTTGACGCTAATTGTACAGTATGTTTGTGCTGCTGACGTTACTTGTACAGTATGTTTGTGCTGCTGACGCTACTTGTACAGTATGTTTGTGCAGTTGACGCTACTTGTACAGTATGTCTGTGAAGTTGACGCTACTTGTACAGTATGTTTGTGCAGTTGACGCTACTTGTGCAGTATGTTTGTGCTGCTGACGCTACTTGTACAGTATGTTTGTGCAGCTGACGCTACTTGTACAGTATGTTTGTGTTGCTGACGCTACATGTACAGTATGTTTGTGCAGCAGACGCTACTTGTACAGTATGTTTGTGCAGCTGACGCTACTTGTACAGTATGTTTGTGCAGCTGACGCTACTTGTACAGTATGTATGTGCAGCTGACGCTACTTGTACAGTATGTTTGTGCAGCTGACGCTACTTGTACAGTATGTTTGTGCAGTTGACACTACTTGTACAGTATGTATGTGCAGCTGACGCTACTTGTACAGTATGTTTGTGCTGCTGACGCTACTTGTACAGTATGTTTGTGCAGCTGACGCTACTTGTACAGTATGTTTGTGCAGCTGACGCTGCTTGTACAGTATGTTTGTGCAGCTGACGCTACTTGTATAGTATGTTTGTGCAGCTGACGCTATTTGTACAGTATGTTTGTGCAGCTGACGCTACTTGTACAGTATGTTTGTGCAGCTGACGCTACTTGTACAGTATGTTTGTGCTGCTGACGCTACTTGTACAGTATGTTTGTGCAGCTGACGCTACTTGTACAGTATGTTTGTGCAGCTGACGCTACTTGTACAGTATGTTTGTGCAGCTGACGCTATTGTACAGTATGTTTGTGCAGCTGACGCTACTTGTACAGTATGTTTGTGCAGCTGACGGTACTTGTACAGTATGTTTGTGCAGCTGACGCTACTTGTACAGTATGTTTGTGCAGCTGACGCTACTTGTACAGTATGTTTGTGCAGCTGACGCTACTTGTACAGTATGTTTGTGCAGCTGACTCTACTTGTACAGTATGTTTGTGCAGTTGACACTACTTGTACAGTATGTTTGTGCAGTTGACACTACTTGTACAGCATGTTTGTGCAGCTGACGCTACTTGTACAGTATGTTTGTGCAGCTGACACTACTTGTACAGTATGTTTGTGCAGCTGACGCTACTTGTACAGTATGTTTGTGCAGCTGACGCTACTTGTAAGGTATGTTTGTGCAGCTGACGCTACTTGTACAGTATGTTTGTGCAGCTGACGCTACTTGTACAGTATGTTTGTGCAGCTGACGCTACTTGTACAGTATGTTTGTTCAGTTGACGCTACTTGTACAGTATGTTTGTGCAGTTGACACTACTTGTACAATATGTTTGTGCAGCTGACGCTACTTGTACAGTATGTTTGTGCAGCTGACGCTACTTGTACAGTATGTTTGTGCAGCTGACGCTACTTGTACAGTATGTTTGTGCAGTTGACACTACTTGTACAGTATGTGCAGCTGACGCTACTTGTACAGTATGTTTGTGCATTTGACACTACTTGTACAGTATGTTTGTGCAGCTGACGCTACTTGTACAGTATGTTTGTGCAGTTGACGCTACTTGTACAGTATGTTTGTGCAGCTGACGTTACTTGTACAGTATGTCTGTGCAGTTGACGCTACTTGTAGAGTATGTTTGTGCAGCTGACGTTACTTGTACAGTATGTTTGTGCAGTTGACACTACTTGTACAGTATGTTTGTGCAGTTGACACTACTTGTACAGTATGCTTGTGCAGTTGACGCTACTTGTACAGTATGTTTGTGCAGTTGACGCTACTTGTACAGTACGTTTGTGCAGCTGACGCTACTTGTACAGTATGTTTGTGCAGCTGACGCTACTTGTACAGTATGTTTGTGCAGCTGACGCTACTTGGACAGTATGTTTGTGCAGTTGACACTACTTGTACAGTATGTTTGTGCAGCTGACGCTACTTGCACAGTATGTTTGTGCAGCTGACGCTACTTGTACAGTATGTTTGTGCAGCTTCCGCTACTTGTACAGTATGTTTGTGCAGTTGACACTACTTGTTCAGTATGTTTGTGCAGCTGACGTTACTTGTACAGTATGTTTGTGCAGTTGACGCTACTTCTACAGTATGTTTGTGCAGCTGACGCTACTTGTACAGTATGTTTGTGCAGCAGACGCTACTTGTACAGTATGTTTGTGCAGTTGACACTACTTGTACAGTATGTTTGTGCAGCTGACGCTACTTGTACAGTATGTTTGTGCTGCTGACGCTACTTGTACAGTATGTTTGTGCAGCTGACGCTATTTGTACAGTATGTTTGTGCAGCTGACGTTACTTATACAGTATGTTTGTGCAGTTGACACTACTTGTACAGTATGTTTGTGCAGTTGACACTACTTGTACAGTATGTTTGTGCAGCTGACGCTACTTGTACAGTATGTTTGTGCAGTTGACACTACTTGTACAGTATGCTTGTGCAGTTGACGCTACTTGTACAGTATGTTTGTCCAGTTGACACTACTTGTACAGTATGTTTGTGCAGCTGACGTTACTTGTACAGTATGTTTGTGCAGTTGACACTACTTGTACAGTATTTTTGTGCAGTTGACAATAATTGTACAGTATGTTTGTGCAGCTGACGCTACTTGTAGAGTATGTTTGTGCAGCTGACGCTACTTGTACAGTATGTTTGTGCAGCTGACGCTACTTGTACAGTATGTTTGTGCAGCTGACGCTACTTGTACAGTATGTTTGTGCAGTTGGCACTACTTGTACAGTATGTTTGTGCAGCTGACGCTACTTGTACAGTATGTTTGTGCTGCTGACGCTACTTGTACAGTATGTTTGTGCTGCTGACGCTATTTGTACAGTATGTTTGTGCTGCTGACGTTACTTATACAGTATGTTTGTGCAGTTGACACTACTTGTACAGTATGTTTGTGCAGCTGACGCTACTTGTACAATATGTTTGTGCAGCTGACGCTACTTGTAGAGTATGTTTGTGCAGCTGACGCTACTTGTACAGTATGTTTGTGCAGTTGACGTTACTTGTACAGTATGTTTGTGCAGTTGACACTACTTGTACAGTATGTTTGTGCAGCTGACGCTACTTGTACAGTATGTTTGTGCAGCTGACGCTACTTGTACAGTATGTATGTGCAGCTGACGCTACTTGTAAAGTATGTTTGTGCAGCTGACGCTACTTGTACAGTATGTTTGTGCAGCTGACGCTACTTGTACAGTATGTTTGTGCAGCTGACGCTACTTGTACAGTATGTATGTGCAGCTGACGCTACTTGTAGAGTATGTTTGTGCAGCTGACGCTACTTGTACAGTATGTTTGTGCAGTTGACGCTACTTGTACAGTATGTTTGTGCAGTTGACGCTACTTGTACAGTATGTTTGTGCAGCTGACGCTACTTGTACAGTATGTTTGTGCAGTTGACGCTACTTGTACAGTATGTTTGTGCATTTGACGCTACTTGTACAGTATGTTTGTGCAACTGACGCTACTTGTACAGTATGTTTGTGCATTTGACGCTACTTGTACAGTATGTGCAGTTGACGCTAGTTGTACAGTATGTTTGTGTAGCTGACGCTATTTGGACAGTATGTTTGTGCAGCTGACACTACTTGTACAGTATGTTTGTGCAGCTGACACTACTTGTACAGTATGTTTGTGCAGTTGACGCTATTTGTACAGTATGCTTGTGCAGTTGACACTACTTGTACAGTATGTTTGTGCAGCTGACACTACTTGTACAGTATGTTTGTGCAGCTGACACTACTTGTACAGTATGTTTGTGCAGTTGACACTACTTGTACAGTATGCTTGTGCAGTTGACACTACTTGTACAGTATGTTTGTGTAGCTGACACTACTTGTACAGTATGTTTGTGCAGTTGACACTACTTGTACAGTATGTTTGTGCAGTTGACACTACTTGTACAGTATGTTTGTGCAGCTGACGCTACTTGTACAGTATGTTTGTGCAGTTGACACTACTTGTACAGTATGTTTGTGCAGTTGACACTACTTGTACAGTATGTTTGTGCAGCTGACGCTACTTGTACAGTATGTTTGTGCAGTTGACACTACTTGTACAGTATGTTTGTGCAGTTGACATACTTGTACAGTATGTTTGTGCAGTTGACACTACTTGTACAGTATGTTTGTGCAGCTGACACTACTTGTACAGTATGTTTGTGCAGTTGACACTACTTGTACAGTATGTTTGTGTAGCTGACACTACTTGTACAGTATGTTTGTGCAGTTGACACTACTTGTACAGTATGTTTGTGCAGTTGACACTACTTGTACAGTATGTTTGTGCAGCTGACGCTACTTGTACAGTATGTTTGTGTAGCTGACACTACTTGTACAGTATGTTTGTGCAGTTGACACTACTTGTACAGTATGTTTGTGCAGTTGACACTACTTGTACAGTATGTTTGTGCAGCTGACGCTACTTTTACAGTATGTTTGTGCAGTTGACACTACTTGTACAGTATGTTTGTGCAGTTGACACTACTTGTACAGTATGTTTTTGTAGCTGACACTACTTGTACAGTATGTTTGTGCAGCTGACACTACTTGTACAGTATGTTTGTGCAGTTGACACTACTTGTACAGTATGTTTGTGCAGTTGACACTACTTGTACAGTATGTTTGTGCAGTTGACACTACTTGTACAGTATGTTTGTGCAGTTGACGCTACTTGTACAGTATGTTTGTGCAGTTGACACTACTTGTACAGTATGTTTTTGTAGCTGACACTACTTGTACAGTATGTTTGTGCAGCTGACACTACTTGTACAGTATGTTTGTGCAGTTGACACTACTTGTACAGTATGTTTGTGCAGTTGACGCTACTTGTACAGTATGTTTTTGTAGCTGACACTACTTGTACAGTATGTTTGTGCAGTTGACGCTACTTGTACAGTATGTTTGTGCAGTTGACACTACTTGTACAGTATGTTTGTGCAGCTGACGCTACTTGTACAGTATGTTTGTGCAGCTGACGCTACTTGTACAGCATGTTTGTGCAGCTGACGCTACTTGTACAGTATGTTTGTGCAGTTGACACTACTTGTACAGTATGTGCAGCTGACGCTATTTGTACAGTATGTTTGTGCAGTTGACACTACTTGTACAGTATGTTTGTGCAGCTGACGCTACTTGTACAGTATGTTTGTGCAGTTGACGCTACTTGTACAGTATGTTTGTGCAGCTGACGTTACTTGTACAGTATGTTTGTGCAGCTGACGCTACTTGTACAGTATGTTTGTGCAGTTGACGCTACTTGTACAGTATGTTTGTGCAGCTGACGTTACTTGTACAGTATGTTTGTGCAGCTGACGCTACTTGTACAGTATGTTTGTGCTGCTGACACTACTTGTATAGTATGTTTGTGCAGTTGACACTACTTGTACAGTATGTTTGTGCAGTTGACACTACTTGTACAGTATGTTTGTGCAGTTGACACTACTTGTACAGTATGTTTGTGCAGCTGACACTACTTGTACAGTATGTTTGTGCAGCTGACGCTACTTGTACAGTATGTTTGTGCAGCTGACAGTACTTGTACAGTATGTTTGTGCAGTTGACACTACTTGTACAGTATGTTTGTGCAGCTGACACTACTTGTACAGTATGTGCAGTTGACACTACTTGTACAGTATGTTTGTGCAGCTGACACTACTTGTACAGTATGTTCGTGCAGCTGACACTACTTGTACAGTATGTTTGTGCAGTTGACACTACTTGTACAGTATGTTTGTGCAGCTGACACTACTTGTACAGTATGTTTGTGCAGTTGACACTACTTGTACAGTATGTTTGTGCAGCTGACACTACTTGTACAGTATGTTTGTGCAGTTGACACTACTTGTACAGTATGTTTGTGCAGCTGACACTACTTGTACAGTATGTTTGTGCTGTTGACACTACTTGGACAGTATGTTTGTGCAGCTGACACTTCTTGTACAGTATGTTTGTGCAGCTGACACTACTTGTACAGTATGTTTGGGCTGGTCAATTGTACCGGGCTTCCAACTATCTATTTTTATAATAATAAAGTTTACTGAACTACTGTTTCAACTATTTTATTACTGCTAAAAATTCGTATCATCAACGAGGACGTGACACAAAGAACATAACTGTGTCCACTTTAACTGCGTGTAGCTACAGTCTTTGCAAATAGAAAATTAGTCACTGGTACCGCAACTAAGGAATTGTAAACACGTCTGACTATACACGTTATTATGGCAAGATCAAAGCTTCTAGAACAATATCTGCATAAGGACTTGAATCACTCTCACAATCAAGTCAGATTTACTACCACAGTTATAGGTTTTCAGTAAATAAAGCATATTTGTACAAGATTTTTCGGAACCTTTCTACTTTTCCTTACGATAAGTGTGATGGGTGTGTGTTGGTTCTTCTTCAGACTCAACATTACTGACCTTGTAGAGGATTTCCAGTCACGGACATTCAGCTGACCTCTCTGGAGACGAGTCATTGTGTACTGAGCCGCCACCCATGCAAAAAAAATCAATGTAATTAAATAATTTGACAGAAAATTATACATATTTGGACAACAATAAGAGGTTCATTAACAACTAGCAATTATTATTAATATATACAAACATTAATATCAACATACCAAAACAAAACTTGTTTCATAATTATATTTTGGTTATATTAATTTGAACTGATTTAATATTGCCTGTCTTCGATCTGACTCTCATTAATGGATGGATACTAAAACTTTTTACTGGTGAAAAATACCAGAATTTTGACTCTAAAAGTTACCGGAAAGGTTAAGCCTGGACCACTGTGTCTGTTACACACACCACACCACGGGTTCAGTTCTACATAAAATACAAAATACACAGGTTGTAGTATGAGTTTGTATTTACCGGGACGTTAGTGATGTGTCTGAGACAAGCCTGGAGCTGCCTCAGAGTGTCCAGATTGGCGGGGTCGACGCCCATCCCACAGCCGAATAGCGTGCTTCAAGCACCTCCTGATCCACCATCGGGCGCAGCAACACTCGCCTGAAATAAACCACAACACACATTATGATTATACAGTACCACACTCAAGAATTACACATTATACATCTGAATTACATAGTATAGTTTTAAAGTGGTTCGCGCACTGTAGAAAGCTCAGGGAATAAGATATTAAGTTACGGTAGTCGGTGGAACAATGTTGTCAGAAACATAACACACGACAGTCCTGTTTGTCACACGACACAGGCCAGGAAAGCGGGAACTTTTAATCAATGTCAACACTCTACTGTAGTGTTAGTGCTGAATAAATGATGAAACACGGATTGTGCAGGTCATTCCAATGTGGGTCATTATAAGCTAATGAGTGGCGTCACCACCCAGATGATGCAGTTGCTTACATAACATGATAGGAAGTTAGACTATATGTATTTCGATCGATGCGCAATCCATAACCTTCTGTGCCTTAATGTATGCGAATAAAATAGTGTAGAGCGTGGCATAAGTTGATAATACAGTTCAATATTAACCTTGAATATTTTAAGAGAAGCGGAAGAGGCATTTACAAGTTATCATATGAGAATTAATATCCAAATTTCTTCAATGAAAATGGTAAATTATGACATACACAGACCAAATACAATTGAAACTTTTCAAAGAGACCAACATCCAAAAATACACAAGCATATTAAGCTGGAAGCAGCTCAGAAGTTGCATTATTACCATGGAAGGATTAAAACTAATCGGATTCGATGCTCAGAAATTATAGCATGGAAAACAGTATTTCATTCTTCCATTTTCTTCCCCCCAAAAATGCAAATTAGGACCTATATAGGCTAAAATCCATCAGCCATTAAATACTGAAGCAGTTCAGAATGAAAATTATTCAGTGTGATTTAATGGGAATAGAATTTTTTACACATAAAATGAACAAATCTGCGCCTACCCATCTGAATTTTACTCACGTCGTCGTCGTCCAATTTTCATGCACCTTTTTTGAACGTTTGAAGGTACTCTACTAAGTTTTCGAAGTTATCCTAGCAATTCCAGAATGCTGGGAATGGGTTCAACACTTTGGTCATAGGTCACGTAAACATGCTAATTGTTTAAATAATTTGGTTCCGTTACCGTGCACAAGTTTCAAAAATTTGAAGCCGATTCGATGAGGTGTTCTAGAGTTATGAGAGTAATAAAATCGAAAAATTGAAGGAAGAAAATGAATGAAAGTTTAGATATTTATGTATTAAGATCTGATGTAACTACACTTGAGGGAGTGGGCAGCTGTAAGACATAAGGTCCTGCATCACCTGAGGGTATGGGCAGCCATAGGACAGGAGGTCCTACTGAGTAGGGCGTAGACACTGAGACCTTCCTTGCTGGCAGAAGACTTGCCACTCTTGAAGGCGGCTGGGTGCTGGTCCTCAGAAAAAAGTTGCAGTGCGGTGGCCGTGGCGTCGTCCAGCTGTGCTAGCTCCTCCCTGAGAACACACACTTGTCACATCACTCCATCACTGCTATACGTCTATACCACCTGTAAAGTGAAGAACCACTTGCAAAGAAAAATTAAACACAGGTCGAAGAAATCTGTATATTTAAGTCTCCCTCAGAGACCCTCTTCAGCAGGGTTTCTAGGAGGCCCAAATATACACAGCTCTTCTGTCTGAGTTGCATTTTTCTATTCTGGTCGGTTCTCACTTTTCGTCTGTAAGTGTTTATGACATTTAAATCCCAGATGCTACATGTGTTGTACCTGATAAACTAAACTGATCAACAAATTGACAGATATATTGCAGTATTTTACACCAAAGCTAACTTAGCACCCTAAGGGAACTTAGCCACGTTTACGTAATATAATACTGAGTAAGCATAAGACATGATTGGCAGCTATACTGACTAAAACGGAGACTAAACACATTATTCTTAATGAATGTAAAAAAAAAAAAAAGACTAAACCTTCTGAACATTTTAAAGCAGATATGATTGTTATACAGGAAAGCTGAGGTAATAAAGAAAATTAAAGCTAATAAGTGGCGAAGATTCATAAGAAATACAACAGTGTCGTTGTGGTCAAATGAAATAACGTGATTACTGCCAGACCAGCAGTGATGTATCCTGACATTGTGTAGGATAGAGGCTGTGGGTCACGACTGAGTGGGTTAGTAATCTCCCCTTTCAGTCACGAAATTCAGCCCAGAACCTGCCGCCCCGTTCTAGTTACCTGAAATAATTGTGTACATACCTCTATTCCACACAGAGGCAGTGTGAATGATAGACAATGACAATTGTAGGTCTCTGTTAAAAGGGAACAGCCACCCCTTGCACGTGGTAGAGTACATAAATCCATTCAAAGACTCGAGTACTTACGTGGAGGAAGATGTGCTGTAGTGTACAGAGAATACCTGCAGAGTCATGTGCCAGTCTCGTCTACCCACGAGAGTCCGATCGCGGGGAATTAACTATCGGGTCGCGTGTGGTAACGAGCAATTCACTGCAATGGATGTCACGAGGAAAGTCGCCCCGTATCTCTCACTAGCTGTGTGACCGGTAAGGCAGGGCGCGGGTAGCAGTTGGCGCGAAGAGAAGTGCTAAACAGTGTATTAGTGTATGGGTAGTGTATTAGTGTATGGGTAGTTAAGCTAAACAACTAGCTTTAACTTCAGTGTATTTGTAATGTAATTACTATGTTAAGCTAAACGACTAGCTCTAACTTAACCTAAATAAGTGTATTAGTAATGTATAATACAGTAACCTGTGGGGCCTTGTTACTAGGCTGTCTTATAAACTAAGTAGATACAGAACTGGCACCCCCCTTAGGGGGGCTGCACGTCTCCCCCTCTTTCCCCAATTAGAAGGTGAGTTTAACGGTCGTCTGGAGAATTACCGGATTCTCCGCAGATATCGTGAACTATTTATTTATTTATTTATTTATTTATTTACTTGCAACAAATCCGTATATATTATAAAATTTAAAGGTTAACATGCATATAATCAGTTTTTAATGTGGCTGGGTTCGTGACAAAAATCAAAGGATGGTAATCACAGATGCCTCGTCAAAGTAAACGTGAGTTTTTTTTTGCATTATTCAGTCGACGTGTAAACGTATTTAGTGTCTTATTCATTATGACCCCTATGGTTTTTAGAGCTTTTCCCAAACTACAAATGAAAAAAAAAATCACTCTACGATACATGGATCAAAACAAAAATGAGTGCGCAATATGGCCGACTTCCGGTTTAATGACGTCACGTGAAAAACACTAGTTTAATCCTACTCAACCTATTTAAGGTTAGTTTAATCCTGTTCATCCTATCTAGGGTTAGTTTAATCCTACCCAAAGTATCTAAAATTAGTTTAATCTTACTTAGTCAATTTACGGTTAGTTTAATCCTAATCAGAATTACGTTAGCTTAATCCTACTCAATATATCTAAGATTAGCTTAATCCTACGGCACCCCTCTGCTGTTTTCAGGCGAGCTACCTCAGTTCGTCACAACCATTGAGAAGTGAGGACGTGCGCTGCTCATTTACCAACATGGCGCTGCAGAGCTACAGGCGCATCAACACTGTTTGCGTTGAGTTGACCCGTGGGGCTGTCACTGGAGCCACGATGGACTTGTTACTACCGGCGATTATCCGTGATACCTACGGTATCGCTAATGAAGAGATATGTGGTGTAGCACTTAATGGGACGACACGGATCTTCGTTAAAATGACGTCAGCAAATGTTTATGAAGCGGGGTGATAAGTATCAAGAGACCATTATAGCCGTCAATTCAGCTGTATCAGTACGTCTACATGATGTATCACGACACTACACATGGGTTAAATAAGGAATGTGCCTTTTGAGGCGAATGAATTTGTTATAAAAGATGAACTACGTAATTATGGGTACGGTTCATATGGCCTCTGCAGGTCGGTGGGCCGCTGGACCTTATGCTGGAAGTTTGGAGGGAACATATTCAGTCAAAATGACCTTACGCCATCCCATACCGTCCTATATTATGTTGCAAGCATTTCGAACTCAAGTATATGTAACATATGCGGGGCAACGTCGTACGTGTCGGCTGTGTGGATCGTATGACCACATAGCGGCACAGTGTGGTAAGCGTCGTGGGAATCTCCAAATATCGCAACAGCAACAACCGGAAGAGGTCGAGGAAGTGGAGGGACGAGAACAGTCTTATGCTCACCCGTCTCGACAACGGACATCTGGAGTGAAGAGGTAGAAAAAGCGCAGGAGAATGCTTTGGAGGATGCAAAACAGCGAGAAAGAATCACCATCACTGGATATAAATAAAGTATTTGAAGAGACTCTGCCCACTATGGGGGACGAGGATGTAGCGGCGTCTTTAGTGAAGGCACTGGATGTATTGTTAGACGAGTCGATCGTCAACCGTGTGGAGGAACCAGGTGCAAATTTGGGATCGGTTGAGCATCACGGTGAGGCGACGGATGAAAGCATTGAGTCTGGGGTGTCGCATGGTATGATGGTAAATATAGCAGAAGTGGAGGTGCATCATGATAGTACTAAAGAAATCCCAATGCAGGTGGAGGTAGGACGCGAAAGCGAACTGCGACCCCACCAGACTCAGACGACGTGCTTACTCCTGCCCAAAGGCCAGGGAAAAAGTCTTGGGCGGATGTACAAAGGAAAGGGAACAGTGAATCCACGAAAAAAGAGTTTATCAAGGTGATTCCCAAAAAAGGGGAGAGGGATAGAGGTGTAAAATGTATAAGTGAAAAGTCTATACCTAGAACCAAAGGAAAATCCCATTAATTGACTTTAAGGTTTTGACAATAAATATTAACGGTTTGAGATCGGAGCGGAAGCGAAAGTGGTTTAATGAATTTTTGGTGCGTCTAGATGTGGATGTGGTATTTATCCAAGAACACAATTACAGAATTGGATATGAGTTAGAATTAGAATGGTTACGATGTGTATATGGAATATGCGACGAGGTTAAAAAGGAGGCGTCGCCATTCTGGTAAGAAAATAGCCCGTTTGTAGTACGCCATAGTGAAAGGGGGGAGGGGAGAGTGATTAGGGTGGATGGTTTATGGGGTAGAGTACATATAAGTTTTGTAGGTGTATATGGGCCGGCTGAGGGAGATGTACGACTTAAAACTCATTTTGTACAAGATGTATTAGTATATCATCTACGTAGTTTACCAAATGTAGCGATAATAGGGGGAGACTGGAATTGTGTAATACGACGAAAAGATGTGGAGCCTCGAGGAGCGGGTTGTTGCTTGGGGTTCCTGGGAGATTTATTGACGAGTGTGGGTTTAATGGATGTGTGGGGGGGGGGTGGCAATGTGGAGCATACTTTCATTAGACGAGATTATGCGGCGAGATTAGATAGAATGTACGTGTCTAGTGCGGTTACAGTGCGGAGAGTGAGTGTGATAAATGTGGTTTTTTTCGGATCATAGAGGAGTTGTAATGGATGTAGATATTGAGGGTTGTGCCTAGAAGGGGTCCTCATTTTGGAAATTAAATGTAAAGTTATTGAAGAGAGAGGAAAGTCGTTTGTCTTTTGGGCATATGTGGGAACGCCTTGTGGTTGAAGCACCTGGAGAATGTGGCTTTGGTTAATTGGTGGAAATGATAGCCAAAAAGCGAATTAAGGAATTTTATATTAGTCAGGGAGTGAGATATAATCAGTTACAGTATGGTTTCCAACGATATTTAGAGGGGCAGTTGCGCGACTGCTATGTACAAGCGAATGCTAATTATCCTGTTACAGAAATTGAACGAATTAAGGAGCAACTACGAAATTTACAAAACGAAAGGTTTGATGGGGAAAGGCTTTAAGGTGGAATCGAAGAGGTTTTGTGGGGAGATCGGCCGTCGGCGTGTGTGTTGAGGAATCAACACAGACGTCGCAAAGCAATGGAGTTAATGGGTTGAATGTCCAGGTAGGTATGCAGGGTATAGAGTGAATCAGGTGTTGACGACGACGGAGGGTATGAGTGGGTATATTGATGCTTGGGTTAAATTGAAAACGCAAAGTGTTGGAATAAGTGAAATTGCATTGCAGTCAATCGGTAGGTTTGTGCGTTGTGAGCTGGAGGAGCATGATCGTTTGATGTTGGGAGGGCCGATAACGGAGTGTGAGACTTGGGAGGCTTTATCTGGGCGCAATTGGTAAGGCGCCAGGAATAGATGGGTTGCCAGCGACTTTTATATTCAAAATTGGAACGTTTTATAAGGGGTTTTTGGTACGTTTATTCAATATCATGAAGGGGATGGGGTATTTAGGGGAACAACAAAGGTTGGCTGTGGTCGTCCTAGTTCCTAAAGGCGAGCCATTAACGGTTAAAGATTATCGTGCAATCTCGTTATTATGTGGGGACTATAAAATTTTTGGAAGGATCTTGGCCAACAGAATAAAAAAAGTCCTGGGCAAAGTGATTGACAAAGGACAATATGGGGTGCCGGCAGGTCTATGTAGAAGGTCACGGTATGATTAGAAGTTTTATTGAAGAAAGAGTAAGATTGGAGGGGGGGGGGTATTGGCTATAGATTGGGAGGCGGCATATGATAGTGTGGAACGGAGACGTTATGGAAGAAATGAGATGGCAGGGGTTTGGGGCAGAAATTATATCATGGCCAAATTAATGTATAAAGAGGCATCTTTGCGTGTGCAGTGAATGGAGGTTGGGAGATCGGATTCAGATGGGAAGGGGTTTGCGTCAAGGTTGTCCCCTTTCACAAATTTTTTTGCTTGTTTTTCAAGATCCCTTTTATAGAGGGATAAGGGTTTTATTGGAAGCAATTGGGTTGGGTAATGTAAGGGGTGGGGGAGCGGGCATTGTTGGATATGTCGACGACACGACGATTTTGGTGAGAGAAAACATGGATTTGATTCGGGTAGAAAAGTTAGTGAAAGTTTTTGAAAAGGCTACTGGCATGACGATCAACATGGGAAAACAAAGTATATGAATCTTGGAAAAGGGTCGCGTGAGGAAGGAATGGTAGCTGAAAGGTGGGAAAGGGTGGACCAAATAAAGATATGTGGGATCGTTTATGTAAATGATATCAAGTCAGCACAACAAATAAATTCCGTGCGTATCGTTGATAGTGTTCTGAAGCGTCTTAGTGGGTTAAGAGCTGCTAATTTAAGTTTGCAACAAAGGGTGATAACAACGAATGTGCTATTATATAGTAAACTATGGCATGTTACGGTAATATTTCCGATACTTCGTTGTGAATTAAAAAGTTACAAAAAAGTGTTTTTAGATTCATTTGGGAACAGGGAGCGAATGGTTAAGTAGAGCGGTTGTCACACTCCCCGTTGGCCGTGGAGGGCTGGGTCTTATAGATGTCGAAAAGAGGATAATAAGTATGTATTTAAAACATAGTTATAAGCGGGAGGGGGGGGGGCGAAAGAAGACGGTCTTCATAGGATACATCAGGATATGCGACGGTGGTGGGGGGGTCGGGAGTTCATGATAGGTTACGGGTCTTCATAAACGTGAGGGATCACTCACAAATTAAATTGAGAAATCTTGATAGGGCAGATGGTAAGGCTCTGGTAGCGGCGGTAGAAGGAGTTTATCCGATGTATGATTGGCATAATATTTGGGGGCGTTTAAATAAATTGCGTTTAAAACCTAAAGTCAGAGAAGTTATGTATAGATTTTTACATGGAATCTTGCCGTCAGGAATGGTTTTATTCTATAAGAGAATACGAGAGGATGGGGAATGCAAGGATTGTGGAGGATTGGCGACTATTTATCATACGGTATATTTTTGCGATTGTATTGAACTTATAAGGGTTTTGGATGGGTAAGGTTTTAAGGTTAGTGGGGGAGGGGGTTTGCAGGTTTTGAGGGTTTTAAGTTTAGATATAACTGGGGTGAATAAAAGGGTTGAGAATGCGATTGGGTATATGATTACGGATTATATATACATGATGTGGGCTATGAGGGAGGCGGACGTGCGTGCAAGAATTAATGCATTGGCAGCAACTTTTTATAGGACACAGTGTAGGAATAAAGGGGTGTATGGAGGGAGATGGGAGAGAGATTTTAGTGAGGGTTATCGAAATTTCACATTAAGGGATTTATGGGATTTGCAAAATGGGTAAGGGGATACGACGGGCTATTTTCCTAGACGTGGGTGTGAGCATGGAGAGCTGTTTATATGGATGTATAATTGAGTTTTGATATCTAGAGGCAATAGGGTTATTACCCCGAGGGTTTCAGGAACTACACAGTTATCATTTAGAAAGGTGTAGCACTACGATTGCATATTTTTATCATGTATAAATCATTTCAAGGACTTTATGATGAAAATTTTCAATGAGACTCAAATATGTTATAGGTGTCTTTACTGTTTTTGATTCAATTGTAAGTGGTAAAAAGTGTTTCCTAGCATAAGCAATTGGTTTATTTTATGTTATATTTTATGCTGTGTTACAGTGTGCTTTACAGTAATATTATATTACATGTAACTAGTTGCATTATTTTTCTTTGTTTTGCTGAGATGTAAAATATCACATCGTAGTTTTGTTTTGTTATATTGGATGTTTTTATAGTGACTTTTAGTATATCCCCGTTTCCTTCTTTGAATACTAAATACCTATGTATGTTAAGATCTCGTGATAATCGCCAATATTAATGTTTTGAGTATCGTGGTGCTCTGTTAAGCACCTGAGATCTTAGAATTAGTCTTGCATACGTGTTTGACAGGCAGAAACCTCACCTAGTATGTGCCTGATGTAGTCTCATGTAGTGTAATGTGTGTGCTTGTGTGTGTCATTGTGCGTGTTTGTTTGTTTTGTTTATCTCTGTTTTATTGTACAATCTTCATAATTTTCAGTGTTTGATGTTTGGTAATATGTAACCTTGTTAGAGATGTTCTTTAACAAATAAAACAATACCACTGTAATGTATAGTGTTGTGTGTGAGTGTATTACCACTGTAATATACGTGTTTTGTGTGTGAGAGTGTATATTCACTGTAATATACGGTGTGTTGTGTGTGAGTGTAATACCAATGTAATATACGGTGTGGTGTGTGTGAGTGTGTATTACCACTGTACTGTATGGTGTTGTTATTAGGTCTCGGGTTAAGTGCGATTCTAGTGCAGTAATCTTTTGTCGTGTATCTTTTTAATATATTTCTGTCATTTGTATCGCACTGTTTTAAATAAAATAAAAAAAAAATCCTACGTTTCGGTCATAAGACCTGGTCACTCCCAGTGAGTGACCAAGGTTCCAGGACTTAAGCCTTTCCACTAAAGATGTGCTGAGTGAATGCACCTATGTCCTTACATCCTAACTAACTTGCCCTCAGCCTGTCTTGGTTCAGACATGTATACTCCGTGATTGTTGACTCACATAGCATACACATGGAGGCCTAGAATAGGTGTACCGTCCATCAACACGGTCGAAGCCAGCAGCTCCAGCCCATGCTTGTCCAGGAATCTATAGAAACATAAAAACACAGATAAATATAGCTAGACTCACACTTGACTCACCTAAGTTATTTAGTGCATAATTTTAGTTATAATATTAAAACAATGAGAAGATAAATTTCGTTTTTGTGTCAGACTTAAAATCAAAAGAACTTCTGCTTCAGATAAGTACCCTCATTTCCCTTCTCTTCCCGTGCGATAAAAGGAATGTCTCGGAGTTTGTCTCTACTGGCTCACCTAAAACGAAAAATAAAACTGACTACCATAGATGAGGCAATTCACAACTAACTTTTATCAACTAGAACTTGTCGGCATTCCTGTACCACCTAGTATTACGATGCATCGCAAGACAATATTTCTGTCTGTTATGGACTACAAATGAAAGGAAACAGTAATAAACCAGAACAGGTAGAGTAAGGAGAAAACTACTGTCAAGTAACGAGTATTCTGCAGTAAACTTCAATGTATTAGGAAATGCAAGCATCTTCACAGACAAAACCATTGTTATATCAGCAATGCGAACACTTCTCTTGTGTTCTTTAAATATGTTAGAAGGGGGGCGGCCAGTTTTACAGTATATTGGAGAGGATAAGAGAAGCAGGAACTGTAATAGACACTGGAAGTATCAGTTTGGCAGTAGAAGTCTAAGCCAGATGGCTACGTAGTGAATTAGTTTGACGAAAGACAAGCTTGATATCCACAGGACCAAAGGCCTTATTAAGATTATACAAATTAAAAACGAAGGTATGGCGGATACAGGAGTTTTCACAGGAGAGATGGGTTTAGGAGAAAAGAAAATCTTTTTAGTATTAGAGTAGGTAATTTATGAAATTAGAATGGTAGCCAAGACGAGGGAATGAGCTGCATAAAAGGGAAATTTCAGAACAGGGACTCTAAGGATCACACATGTGGAGGGTACGGAGGAGTCCGAGGAGATAGAAAAAAAAAGATCACTGTGCGGCATATGCCATTGTGCATGCAGAGGTACTCAGAACAGTGGACATGAACATCAAGGAAAAAAAGCTAGTTAGATTCCTATTCACATCTTTCCTTCTTTTGGTTTATTGTCCTAAGTGACCACTCCAACCCTTCGGACTATTGCCCCGTTGCTCTTATTGCTTAACAGTTTTTTTAAAGCAACTATAATCTCTCTAATCGTAAGAATATGTTCCTTAAGGCTCGGTTTGTCGGTGATCTCTTTTACCTTACTTATTCTTCACCGAAAATCTGGATACTGACAAAACTTTCAACAGGGTATGACACATGTAATCTCCAGACTAACATCCTTCAGATATTCACCTCTGCAAACAAATTTCGAGTTTCCTCTCTGATCTATCTCTGTTGATGAAGATTATCTGAATGTGCCTCCCTCCATCAACTTTCATGTTCTTCAAGGTTCTCTTCTGTCTTCTACTTTATTCATTAATGTCATTAATGATTTGCATAGTACATTTAATACTGTCCATTTTTGTGCTAAACTTCATGACTACGACCAATCTACTCGTTCTGAAAGAATAAAAGCAACAATTCCGTAGCTGCAATATTTCACAATTAACTTATGTATTAAAGAGGAAAATTGGACGTCATTTCGGTCGGTCTTGGGCTATTATCAAGTCCAGGATGAATCGAAACATCGCGGTCCATCCTAAACCCTTCCTTTACCCCCATGTGATGAAGCAATAGTAGAGCGTCTCACCTGAGGAGTGCTCCCAGAGCACGGGTCATGGAGACAAGGTCTGTGTTGACTTTGCCTCTGACGAAGAGTTCTCTCTCCTCCTCGGTGATGCCCTCTGGCTCTCCAGGCAGCACCAGGGACAACACACGCCGCACACACAACTCGTACTCTGCACACAACAATACACTATTCAAATGTCTTACAGACAAAATATAAAAAAATCGATTACAAAACTGTTGAATTGGGAGAGAAAAAGTGCGAGATTCTATATAGAAAGTGTCAGCGTGTTTAAATAAAGGGACACGGTACATAGACTCCAATTCAGTTATTGTTTGACTGACTGGCAACACCATCTTGTTTTTTCTTATTTCTCAATAATAACCAAAAGATCATATTTTGGCCTAAACCCCAAACATCGCAGAGTATATATACCGAGAGGTGCGTTCCTTTCAGTGTATATACACTGAAAGTTTAACATCTTAAAGCAGTCTGAGGTAGTGACATCTTAAAGCAGTCTGAGACAGTGACATCTTAGAGCAGTCAGAGGTAGTAATATCTTAGAAAGGTAATGGGGAAGAAGGAATCTGAATGTCTCCCATTCCACAGGTGGTATATGGCTTTTTATGGTTTAGCACTTTCCTCTGATCAAGTAGAACAATTGTAAACAGCATCAATCATTAATGGCTGATTCATCCTATGAAATGTATAAAAAAAAATCATGGCTATTGCTTGTGTAGATGAATGTTTTCTTTAATTCGTTCAGTAACTGGAGAATGCCTCTTCTGGTAGGTTTTAATAATAATATAATAATAATAATAAATAATAATATAATAATATAATAATAATAATAATAATATCTTTATTTACTACAAGTACATGTACAAGGTATACAGTCCTAGCTGACATCAATGACATACTACTATATAGAAAGCCGCTTGTTACGCAAAGCATTTCTGGCAAATTAGGTCAGTTTTGTCCCAGGATGCAACCCACACCAGTCGACTAACACCCAAGTACCCATTTTACTGATGGGTGAACACAGACAGCCGGTGTAAGGAAACACGTCCAATGTTTCTACCCCTTCGCCGGGAATCGAACCCGGACCCTCACCGTGTGAAGCGGGGCACAACTTTTAGTGCTGGTTTGTTTTCCTCTAAGGAAGCTTTGCCTTCATTTTAGGCTGTGTAAGTTTTAATATGACAATTACATTAGTCAAACTGGTGAAATAACTGAAAAATGTCTCTTCTGATCAGAAATAAATGAATGCTTGACTATAATGGGTTGTTATTACTTTCAAGGAGGAGCACTAAACCCGTGGAGATCAAACAGGGTTTTCAGGAATGGGAGGCATTCAAGTTCGATCCAAGAAAGGGGAAGGCAGGTTCAATTTCTTGGATGAAGAGCCCTTCATCAGCATCAAAGAACCTCCCTTCAGAGGATCTGACTTTAAAGATTCTGTTGACAATCCACACTTGCCTTTGGTCAACATCACACAAGGTAGAGACTTGTTGTCTTCTGTTCTGTATCTAAACTAACGCAACTAATACTTATATAACTAACATACTACTAATAATAAATAAAGTCCGTGTTCATGTCTCAGTAGCTTTGGTCCAGTATCCGACTAACTCGGGACAGTGGTCAGAGGGATCGGAATACCTCTGGGCACGTAGTTTGGTCGTGTATCTGACATACTGAGCGCAGTGCGCACTGGGAAGGGTATACTTCTCTTAGTATCTGGCTTGTGTTCATTATTCAAGAAAGTCAGTAAATTAGAGTTACCCACATTCAAGAGTACAGAAATAACTGGAATAATTTATGTCCACTAGAGACCCTCCACAGGTTTCATTGTGTATCATTATTACCTGTATATTAATGGGATAGTGCTAAACCCGTAAGGGTCATACAGCATCTGAGGAATAAGAGGTAATCAGGTTTGATCCTTGGAACGGATGTCTAATTCCTTGGATCAAGAAACGTTCAGCAGCATCAAGAAAAAGAATACTTTATTCGGAATATTAACCCAGAGGGTTAGTAACCCAGGATAACCTAAGACAGCTAATTAGTGTCACTTATTTCCACTAGTGTCCTTCGGTTCTCTTCCCCAGGATGCTGCCCACAACAGCCTATTAACACCTAGGTACCTACTTACTGCTACGTGGAAAGGGGATAACAGGTATAATGAAACATGCCCAAGGTTGTCACCCGTGCTGGGATACAATCCCAGTCTATGTCTGCCGAAACGCTGCCACATGAGCCACGAGACACCTGTCATGAAGGGTATAAAGAATATAGCAAGAGGACTTACTGAAGTCAGCCATGGGGAGAACCCTGATGGTACAGGAGCCTGTGGTGGAGGATGGTGCTGGTGAGGGTGCACCAGTGTTGGAGGCTCCTCCCACACTCCCTCTACCTCCGCCGCTGCTGCTGCTGCCTCCACCCTCATTCTGTCACAAGTGTATTATATAAAACTATTTTAATTAAAGTGGGAGGTATACCTCCATGAACATAAGTGGTCTAGGCATACACACTATTATTATTATTTGGTAAGGTAGAAACCACTTGGACATAAACAGTGAAAAACAGGTAAAACATCTGTATATTTCCATCTCAGAGACTCTCAAGCACTCAAACAAAATTAGGCACACCCCGCACTGTGCATGTGGCATGCAAAGAGTATGTTACAATTTATTCGGCGTATGTCACACTCCCATATAGGCTGCCTCCCAGCCAGCAAACCAGGTGCTAAGGATTTAACGATCAATAGGGTAACAGTTGTTAAATCAATACCTTGATTTATTGACCAACCACAGGCAAGCCCGCCAAAGCTGAAGCCACGTGGTTCACTTGTGGTAAGCATTGACAGACTTGCCTACTTGTTGGTTGAGTATGGTGCACTCTCTGACTTCTGCTTTGCATCTGTCACCATGGTGTACACGTATTATTCTATTTGTACATACTGTACATAGTGTACATATCTGTATAGCGAGTATGGGCAAAATATACATTATAGTCTACTACTGAGTCTGCTCAAATTCCCATTACGACCAGGTCTCACGGCCATTCTTTACCTGTGTTCGTAATAGTGCGGCTACTCTATTTTATATAAGCTTAAGTTAGGGCATGGACGTCTGTCAGCAAAATTTCATCAATTATACAATAACGTCAGAAAACGCGTTGACGAGTCAAGGTGATAGCCACTTTTGAAGCGTGAACACGACAAGGAAACCCACCTAGCGCACGATGAAATAGTCACAATAATCACTTTTTCATTCCAATGTCACATTCACAAATCTGACGTTCTTAGTCAAAGTTACATACTATGATATAACATATTTTTTACAATGTTCTCGAGGGAACATATTAGGGGTTCATAATATATGTTATTTTATCCTAAGATAACTCAATAAAGTCAAACACTAAGACTTATTTCCACTGGAGTCCCCTGTATTTCTATAAAGACGATGTACTTTAGTTACATAGTGGGAAATAAAGTTTATTTCCTTGCCACATTCCACCGCAGAAGATGGGTTTCTTACGTAGAGTAGTGAAATGGGTCAGCCTGAGTTGAGAGACGCAATAAGATGGTGATATCATCAAGGGTTTCACTGTGGGTTCAGTAGCTACGATAACTTAGTTTCCCTCTTTCGTTTATGAAGCTGCTCTTATTATAGATCATTATTTTACATGACAAATACAGTGTCTTGTAGAAATTTCGGAGAGGCACGAGAAATAATTCTAGGCGTGATATACCGTCCCTCCCACTTCTTTGATTTCTTAGTCAGCACTTCTTTCCCTAGTGGTAAATTTGCTGCAAGGTAGGTATGACAAGTACGAACCTAAGAAGAGCAGCCCCAAATCGCCGACATATGTCGCCAATAACAAAACTGCAGCTGATACCAAGAAAATTCTTCAAGTTACACAACAGCCATCTCTATCCAGCACCCTCCCCCTCTCCACTGCCGGACGCGGCTCCCTCAAAGGTGCTGTATTGCATGGTGTATGATGCGCACCTTGCAAATGCAGCCAACCCAGGCACATTCAACACCACCAAAATTAACTATTCTGACTTAACGATTTGCCTGCCTTCGTCGTCCCTGACCCACACCTTCAGCTGACATCCTCAGATTCTTTCTAGGTCGTTAACTTCACTACTCCTGCTGACCTGTCTCCTACTGCCCAAGCAACTGTTCCTGCACCTTCCACAACCTCCGACATCACCGCTCACGCTGCCCCTCGACCACCGCCACCGCCGCCTCCCAACCTGATGTTACACCACAAGTACACCTCTCCATTGCTCCTGTCGACCCTCGGTCACCCGCTAGTACCGTGGTAGACTCGCCTACTGAATCCACGCCAGATGAAGATATTGACGACTCTAGCACACCAACATGGGAAAGCCTTACCTTCTACACTGCTCCATCAAATGCTGATACCATGACCTGCACTGAATTCTACAAAGGCCATGGTGCAGGAACTGTCAAGTTTTCCTGCGAACAAGCTCATCACTTCACTCACCCAAGTTCTGGAATTCCTCAAGCCTATACGATTCATCAATGGAAACAAGACAAAACTTTACCACCTCTTTAGGAGCAGCTTCAAGAAATTTGAGAATGGCTCTTCTACAAATCTGTCAACTTAATCACGTTAATAACACCAGTATGCTGCCCTCTGATGTTCTTACCTGCCCGCCCTGTCCTGCGACCTAACCTGCTGCCAGCTTGTCAAGACTGAAGACCTCCACAAGACTGCTGCAACTAAGCCTACTCTTCCTGATTCTCCAGTCTGTCCCACGATCGGCAAGGGGCTGGGCCCTGGCACTTTCTCTACGACTGTGGACACTCCTCTCCAGCGCTATTCTTCACCTGTCCCATCCTCCTAACTCACCCCACATGGAGTCTTACCTAAACTTTCTTGTCTTGTCCCTCCCCCCAACTTAAATAGGAACCAAGGGAAACTACAATGGGAGGAAACTGTTAAGGTTACAGGGCACGATAACCTAGTAATTCTAGGAGACTAACTTGATTGGAATTCCTTGACCGGGAATCTAGTCAAACGACACATTCGCAGACACAAAAATAGGCCGAATAGTTGATTCAGAAGAATATGCCACTGAATTTCAGGAGGATTTAGATGAGCTCGTGTCATGGTTAGAAAAGTGGCAGATGCAATTCACTGTAGATAAATACAAAGTCCTAAAGCTCTGGAATTTACATAACCTTAGCATTTATAAAGTAAATAATACAGAACTTGGCTATACAGTATGCGAAAAGGGCTTGGGAGTTTTGTTAAGAAACAACTTGAAGCCAAGACAGTAATGCCTAAGCGTACACAGTGAGACAAACAGATTGCCGGGATTTATATCAAGAAGTATAAGCAACAGGAGTCCAGATGTTATAGTACAGCCTAGTATGGGCCAGTAGGCCCACTGTAGTGTTCCTCTATTCTTGTTTAATTATGGGCGACACACTTACCTGGGTGGGGGTGGACGTTGATTCCCTACAGAGAGGAGTGGGCGGCATACCACACAGCTGACGCAGCATGGTAAACAAACGGTCGTCCTGCCTCCCACCCACCAGAACCCACCTGCAACCCAGACACTGATGCATCTAATGGACGTATTGCAGACAATGTTGAGGAAAAGGCACATGTTCCTGATACAACATCTCGCCCGTGTTAGAGCTTCAATAAGTCAAAGTACTTAATCAAGTTCTAGCAGAACGAAAAGTTGTCCAAATAAAATCGTGTTCTGGATTTTTTTCCCGAGTCATCACTTCTGCACAACGCAACACCTTCACTAGTTGCGTTAAACACTGCAGCAGGCCTACTGGCCTGCTGCAGTGTGTTTAACGCAAGGGGCTGCATCAGTAAGAACATAAGAATGGAAGAACACTGCAGCAAGCCAGTAGGCCTGCTGCAGTGTTTACCGCAACAGGCCAGTAGGCAACAGGACAGTAGGCCACTGCAGCAGGTCTACTGGCTTGCTGCAGTGTTCCTCCATTCTTATGTTCTTACTGATGCAGCCTCTTTCTTGCGTAACTTTTGTTTCTTCACTCTGTGCCGCTTCTGGCCTTTACATATCTACCTCTTTTAATATTGCTGTCTGGCTTTCCTCCCTGTTTGCATCTAACTTTCCTGTCTTCCAGTCACCTTCTTATTTAGAAAGCCACCTTTCTGTCTTGCACCTTCATGTCTAGATGTCTACCTACCCTTCTCTGTCATCTTCTGTCTAAGCATCATGTTCCTGTTTATCTCTCATCTTCCTGTTTACTTCTTACCTTCCAGCCTATTTTCTTCAAGGCTGCTTATTGCCTTCCACCTTGTATATTCTTTCATAGTTTTCTAGTTCTTTTAAAATCTATTTTTTCTTGTCTACATATCTCTTATCCTTCATATTAGCTTCTAAACTACCCGTCACTTTCCATCCTATTACATTCCAGCTTACCCTTTTCTCTTTCATCTTACACATTCCCTTCCATCCTACTTCTCCTATTCTACATATTTCCTTATAGACTACTTGTCACTTTCTAGCTTACCCATGCTCTTCTATTTACCTATTCTCTTACAGCCTAGTTGATCTCTTGCACTTCTAGACTGCCTATCCTCTTACGGCCTATCTATTCTTTTCTGGACTACCTGTCTTCTATAATACCTGTCACCTTACAGCCTACATACTGTCTTATATATCGCCTATCACACTGCAGCATTAAGGTAAGATGATACACGTACCTGGGTCGCTGTTCACGGAACAAGGTGGTTAGTACCAGAAGTCGGGGGCAGCATCCACTTTGTCCTCTAACCACATACACCTGTGGGTAGTGTAGGTAGGGGTAGGTCATCAATGTGGGTAAGGGAGGTCAGCAGAGTGGGTAGGAATGTTAGCAGTGTGGGCAAGGGAATCACCAATAAGCAGTGTGGTTATGATGGAAGGCGGTCCCCTCGAGGAAGGTTCCTTGACGCTGGTGAGGGACTCTTGACCTAGGGAATTGGATCTGTACTCCGGCTCCCTGAATTGAGCCTGAATTCCTTCCATCCCCCCACATGCGCTGTATAATCCTACGGGTTTAGCGCTCCCCCCATAATTATAATAATAATAATAATAATAATAATAATAATAATAATAATAATAATGGAAGACGCTCAAAAAGCACACTCACCATCCATGTTTGTTGTCTCACCTTCCACAGCTGTTGTATAACCCAGCTGTTGCACGACACAGCTGTCATATGACCCAGCTGTTCTCAGGATATAATTTACACTGAGAGGAATATTTCTCTCAACGCATATACTGATATATATATATATATATATATATTATATATATATATATATATATATATAATATATATATATATATTATATATAATATATATATATATATATATATATATACTGAGGCGGGTATTCAAACAAGATGAGGCTGAAATTAATCCTTGAGATACCATTGCCACGTGTCCTCGGGCCAAGGCGAACACAGTTACGTGCTGTGTGCTTGGTTCTTGTAGGATCAGTGGCGTAGTGGTAAGGTGATGCGTGCATTGTTCTGTCTCTGGAGGCGGTACAAGGTTCGTAGGGTCGAGTCCTGGCCTGCTGCAGTTTGGTAAATGATATATATATATATATATATATATATATATATATATATATATATATATATATATATATATATATATATATATATATATATATAATTGTGTGTGTGTGTACTCACCTAGTTGTGGTTGCGGGGGTCGATTCACACATCTCCTGGCCCCGCCTCTTAATTGGCTGCTACTCGGTCACTCTTCCTGCTCCATGAGCTTTATCACACCTCTTCTTAAAGCTATGTATGGATCCTGCCTCCACGACATCACTTCCCAGACTATTCCACTTCCTGACAACTCTGCGACTGAAGAAATACTTCCTAACATCCCTGTGATTCATCTGAGTCTTCAACTTCCAACTGTGACCCCTTGTTGCTGTGTCCCATCTCTGGAACATCCTGTCTCTGTCCACATTGTCGATTCCTCTCAGTATTTTATATGTCGCTATCATATCCCCCCTATCTCTTCTGTTCTCCAGTGTCGTCAGGTCGATTTCCCTTAACCTCTCCTCGTAGGATATGCCCCTTAGCTCCGGGACTAGTCTTGTTGCAAAACTTTGCACTTTCTCAAAATTCTGTACGAGCTTGGCTAGGTGTGGATTCCAAACTGGTGCTGTATACTCCAATACAGGCCTAACGTACACGGTGTACAGGGTCCTGAACGATTCCCTATTGAAATGTCTGAATGCTGTTCTTAGGTTTGCTAGTCGCCCGTATGCTGCAGTAGTTATCTGGTTGATGTGCGCCTCAGGAGATGTGCCCGGTGTTATACTCACCCTAAGATCCTTTTCCTTGAGTGAGCTTTGTAGTCTCTGGACCCCCTAGACTGTACTCCGTCTGTGGTCTTTTTTGCCCTTCCCAAATCTTCACGGCTTAGCATTTGGTGGGGTTGAACTCAAGAAGCCAGTCGCTGGACCAGGCCTGCAGCCTGTCCAGATCCCTTTTAGTTCCGCCTGGTCCTCGTCCGATTGAATTCTCATCAACTTCACATCATCTGCAAACAGGGACACTTCTGAGTCCATTCCTTCCGTCATGTCGTTCACAAAGTACCAGAAACAACACCAGTCCTAGGACTGACCCCTGTGGAACCCTGCTCGTCACAGGCGCCCACTCTGACACCTCGCCACGTACCATGACTCGCTGTTATCTTCCTGACAGGAATTCCCTGATCCATTGCAGTGCCTTCCCTGTTATCCCTGACTGGTTCTCCAAATTTTGCACTAAACGCAAACTACCCCACCTCTCTCTTGTCTCACTGCTGTCACCCTGTTGTAGAACTCCAGTAGGGTTGTGACACAAGCTTTCCCGTCCCTGAAACCGTGCTGGCTGTCGCTGATAAGCTCATTCCTTTCTAGGGCTCCACCACTCTTCTCCTGATAATCTTCTCTATGACTTTTCATACTATACATGTCAGTGACACTGGTCTGTAGTTTAATGCTTTGTGTCTATCTCCTTTTTTAAAAAATTGGGACTACAGTTGCTGTCTTCCAACCTCAGGTAGTCGCCCGGTTTCGATAGACGTGTTGAAGATTGGATTTAATATTGGCAGAATTACCGACAATATGTTAAGTAAAAGGACACAATTACAATTAATGTGACATTTATTGTGGCAACGATTCGCTCTCCAGGAGCTTCATCAAGCCATTACAATAATACATGGACACAGAGGGTATATGTATAGGCTTAGAGTGAGGTTTAATACTAATGGAAGAGTAGTAGTAGTAGTAGTAGTAGTAGTAATACCATATTGTACTACTACTACTACTACTGCTACAACTAATATTACTACTACTACTACTACCACTAGTATTACACCTCACTCTAAACCTATATATACCTCTGTGTCCATGTACTGTTTGTAACGGCTTGGCAAAGCTCCTGGAGAGTGAAACGTTGCCAAAATAAAATGGCACACATAGTGCCTCTGCTCCCTCTCTCAGGACCCATGGAGAGATGTTATCCGGCCCCATCGCCTTTGAGGTGTCTAGCTCGCTTAGCAGCCTCGGTTGCATGTATTGTTTCCAACACTTGATGGTGCACCCCAGCTCTCTGTCTTTCCGGAGTCCCTTCTGTCTCCTCTGTGAACACTTCTTTGAATCTCATGAATCTCCTTACATCCTTCGTGGTCGTTTCTTGTGATCTCTCCTTCCTTCCTCACTCTGCCTGGTCTTTGACTGTTGTTTTCCTCCTGATGTGGCTGTACAACTGCTTCGGGTCAGATTTGGTTTTCGCTGCTATGTCATTTTCGTATTGTCGTTGGGCCTCCCTTCTTACCTGTGCACATGTGTGTGCGTGTATGTTGTGTGTGTGTGTGTGTGTGTGTGTGTGTGTGTGTGTGTGTGTGTGTGTGTGTGTGTGTGTGTGTGGTGTACTCACCTAGTTGCAGTTGCAGGGGTCGAGTCCCAGCTTCTGGCCCCGTGTATGTGTGTGTGTGTGGCACATGTATGTGTTGTGTGTGTGTCACATGTATGTGTGTGTGTGTGTGTGTAGTTTAATCCCTATTTTAGGGATTAAAGTATTCTTGTCTGGTGGTGAAACGTTGCGTGCAGCCATAATGACCCTAATGTATTCCAGAGTATTTAGACCTCATTAGCCAACCTAACGGCCAACTCAGCAGTTGTATGACCCCAGCTCTCATGCAGGTATAGCGCTTCTCAACGATTACCATCCAGGAGACTACTGCATAAAACTACTTTATAAAATTATCCTTCGCAACGAAGGAATCGGGGTTCCATCCCCGGCCGAGTGGAAACGTTGGAGATGTTTCCTTACAACTGTTTCCTCTGTTCACCTTGCAGTAAATAGGCTCCTGGGTATGTTGTGAATCACATCCTGGGACACGGGATTAAAGGACCCCACCCCCAAAGGGTGAGGAGAGTGTCTTGGGTTATTCTGGGTTACTAAAACCTATTGTTATGATGATGCTCGCGGGAAAGCGCTAAACTCACTGGGTCATATTGCGCCTGAAGAATGGAAAGTAATCAGGTTAGATAGCAAAAATGGGGAGGGGTGGGATTTGAGTAAGAATGTAGGATATAGTGAAAAACAATATAAGTGGAGAGAGAGAGAGAGAGAGAGAGAGAGAGAGAGAGAGAGAGAGAGAAAGGTTAAATTGGACTAATCACTCTGGGTGGATTAAAGAGAGTGGCTTCCGTCACACAGTGACGAGTGTAGCATTATCAGTATCTTAGTTGTGTGAACTTGTACAGTTTTGTGGCGTGTCTGTCTCGTATGGAGGATTAACCATCCACCACTGCTTGTGCTGAATGACCCACAAGCGTTTAGCGCTTCACATGAGATATTATAATAGTAAACCAACGGCCAATTGAACACGGCGCTATGATACTCGGGAAGATACTAACTACAGAACAAAGCTAGTGGATGGTTATGTTTAGTCCGTCCTAAACTAATGACTTAATGGTCCAGGACGTCTGAAATTTAATCTTCAAATTGCGAGTTAATAATACCTTGTTAGTGAGTGGGTCCTTGACGTTAATAAATGACCGAGGTAGTCATTAAAGGCGGAACACCAAGAGCATTGTTCTGCTCCTCTAGCCACAAACAGATGATTACAAATAAGTAATTATAATTAGGTCATTACCTGAGCTGAGGTGATGTCATAGAATGCAGCTCCCAGCTTGCCCTGTGACCACGACACACTCATCACCACCTGTGGCACGAGACAAGTACACTCGCACACACAATATACTAGTTGCAGCAACACAATGTTTTTATAACATTAATGCTATAAAATAACGACAAAGACACATGCAGGAAAAAGGACTTTTATTATTAAGACAAATCATTCTTATGAGACTGTTTGTGCCAGATAAAACCTCATGTAAGTGAACCGTCATACTGATAAAGATCTCACTTTAGAGATGTATCGGATGTGAAAATTTAGATATCCGCGGATGCAGATATGTATGAGGATGTCTTACTTATTTTGCGGATGCGGAATTAAGAAATTGTGCGGATCTCAGTTTGCTACATGTCTCTTTTTACCAGTTGTCAGCTATGCTGTACCTCAATTAAATACAGACAAGTTCATGAGTAAGACACATGTGCTGCACCTGCATATCTTTATTTATGAAAACTTATGTATCTCTGAAATCAGTTAACAAAAGAGCCACTGGTTGGTGGAATATCTTCATAAATATATGTACCCCGGTATTGCACACGTATTCTATTCGCACAATACTACGTAATGCAGTTGCAAATGTTCTAAAATAAATATAATGTAATACGTTACACTACAATTCATTATAATTCCTTTTTAATACTAAATAAAGATTTATAATATGAAGAATAACACATGTGCAACATTTGCGAATTTTTTACAAGGAAATGTTTCGCCAGTCAGTGTTTTTTTTTCTGGCTAATACAGAGCATAACAGTGAAAGATAAGGAGGAGTTTGAGGTAATCAGTCCCTCAGTTTGGAGTCGATGTCTTCAGTCCATCAATCTTAAAAAAATGTATAGCACATGGTTAAGTTAGGTAAGGTTTGTCAGGAAACAGGATGTTTCCTGACCCGGGTTTTAGTCATATGGTGACCCGCAGCTAGAGCTTCTGATCAATTTGACCGAGACCTTCCGCAGGCTTACCGTTCCACCCCTTGCTGCGCCGCAGCCGCTGCAAGCAGCAACAAGGCTGCTCCTATATCTTGCCGTCCCGTGGGCCTATCCGAACTCCAGTGATGGCCAAATTGCAAGTACTGCTGCAACAACATGCAAGGAACCCATAGTGACATAAAAACTGACGGTGACGACAACGAAATGGACTAAATATGACAAAAGAGGGACCGGCATTCAAGTACCAGACCTGCTGCCAGGCATGAGACGTTTTCCACTACAATGAAATAACTGACCTCCATATCAACTGCACCAGTGTTTAAAGGGAAGACAACATGGCAGAAAACCTGACCAACTAAATCTCCAAGGAAATGACAGGTCTGTAGGACTTTTTTTCTTCAGTGCCAAACGAGGGAAAGAATTGAGCATTTAAACATGGCTGACCGGCATCCAAACAGCAGCTACTGCCAGACGTACAACTAGCGAAGTGAAATTCTCATCTTTACTGACGTTCATCTGTTGACAGTAGCATCATATCTGTACCACCATCATATCACCTGTACCAGTGCTAACGAGAGGGAAACACAGGAGATATCGTCAAATCAACAGTACAAAACTCCAAGGTTATATATAGGACGGTTATCCCTCAGAGCCAGTCGTGGGAAAGAAGTGAATAGTTAAATAGTCAAGGTTAATGTTTTAGTAGCTGACCTATATTCAGCTGACCAGTGTACAGTGAGAGAATCATAGCAGAAAACGCCAAATATATCTATAAACTCAAGGAAAGTCAGGTTGTAGGTGGCGTTACTCCCCTCAGTGTTTTAAAAATGGCTGAGTCAGCAGAACAGGTCAGGAGACAACACACCACACAACCCCCGATAAATGGAATTGAGGGGGATTTGGAAGGATAAAACCATTGATTAAACCTTTCTGGTCTACCAGAATGGAAAGGAGTTAGAAGTTAATTGGTGAAGCCAGACTGTGAAGTGAGGTGGGAAGGGGAGTGTGTAATAAGGGGTTAACTGTAAGGGTTTGTGAAGTTAAGGGAAAAGTGAGCAGTGAAGAGGGTTTTGAAGAAGAAAATTTACTAGTAATTCAGTGGTGATTGCTAAAGCAGATACTAAGTGTACTAGGTGACTGAAAAGAGAAATAAATATTATTGTATATGAGTAAAAGAGAGAAGAGTGAAAATGGCAGGCATTAGGGGGGTACAGGCTGCCATAATTATATTTATCTTTCTTCTTCAATTCCATGAAGAAAGAAATCAGTCATGGGGGCTGGAAAAGGTGAATGGAGTAACAGCACCCTGGACAGTAAAAGCCCAACAGTTGCCATCCTACCAGAAAAGTAAACGTCACTATCGCCGCAAGGTATGGCACCACCGCATGCCCAAACAAAAACAGTGGCACACAGCTCTTATTGTAGCGCTCTTAAGTGGTGATATCCAAATTAATCCAGGACCTCAAACTATTGTGCAGAGGCAAAACAGACAGATAAATGACGGTGATAATGACGGTCTAGTAGCTAGGAATGATAACCTTAACTCCATATGTAATGCTTACATAGGTCAATGTGAGACAATACAGCCATTATTATCTCAAATACTACAAAACAGGTGCATACACTGTACTAAAGTACGCATGAAAAACAGAAAATGCACCTTATGTAAAATGTGTAAGGGGTGGGTGCATGATGGATGTATGTACAATTATAGTAACGGTGCCAGAATTCATTTTGTGTGCAACAAATGCACTTTGGCACAGTTACCCTTTAGCAGTGATGACATTGATTTACCTAATTTTAATACAAATGACCCATTGCCATATATTGATGATTATAATTGTTTTATGAAAACAGGCCTTCACTTTATTCATGTCAACACAAGATCACTTCTTCCTAAATTGGCAGAGATTAGGATTCTAGCTAACAAAATTAGGGCGGCAGTTATAACCATCTCTGAATCTTGGTTGGGCGATACGGTGACTGACGACGAGGTCAAAATAGAAGGTTACAATATAAAACGCTTAGATAGGAACAGAAAGGGTGGTGGAGTATGTGCCTACATTAGAAATGACTTAGCTTACAACCCAAGACCTGATTTAAATAACAATAAACTGGAGATTCTATGGTTTGAAGTGCTGCTTCCTAAGACCAAACCCATCTTAGTAGGAACTAGTTACCGTCCTCCTACCCAGGACCAGTTCTTAGAAGACTTTTCCAGAGTATTGTCCGGACTTGAAAACAATTGCGAGACAATAATACTGGGAGACTTCAATATCTGTTTTCAGCAGCAAAATAACGTGCTATGCAAAAGGTATAAGCAAATTCTAGGATTAAATAGTTACACTCAACTAATTAACACACCAACCCGGATCACACAGTTCTCAGCCACCCTAATTGACCACATACTTTGTAACCGCGCTGAGAGCATTAGTCAGTCAGGCGTCATTACCACAGGTCTTAGTGATCATTTCATCATTTACTGCACCAGGAAAATCACTAGGGATAGGGTGGGCCTACACAGGACAATAAAAATGAGATCAACTAGAAACTACAGTAAAGAAACACTGGTAAATAGGCTACACAATTGTGACTGGACAGAGATAACAAGTTGCACGGACGTAAACGATGCCTGGGAAAAATTCAAAACAATGTTCACTACCATCCTTGATAATATTGCTCCAGTTAAAGAGGTTAGGATTAAACAAAGAACTGAGCCCTGGATGAATACTGAGATATTAGATAATATGAAATTCAGAGACCAGCTGCTAAAAAGATTTAAAGCAAACAAACAGGATATTGCAGCACTAAATGAATTCCAAAGGGTGAGGAACAGAGTACAGAGACTTATAAAAGGAGCAAAGGCAAAGCACTATTGCTCAAAAATTGAAGATTGCCAGAAAGCTCTGGCAACAACTAAAACAGTTGGGGTATAGCCATAAGCCAGTAGATAGGTCTAACATAGTACTCACTATCGATAATGAGGTACGCCACGAAACATCTAAGGTGGCAAATTGCTTTAATTCCTACTACACATCTGTTGCATCAACACTAGTAAGTAAACTACCAGCTGCATCAAATACCTTTAACACAGACTCTGATAAGTTTCAACATACTATACCAATAAAGGGGTAACCCCAAACAGCTGTCAACTAGTAAGTGTATCTCATGACTTTATTCAAAAAGAACTAAGCAGGTTAAACCCAACTAAGAGCACTGGCCCGGATAACATCCCGTCTAAGTTCCTAAAAGATGGTGCTTCTGAACTGTCAATCCCTATTGCTCACATATTAAATCGATCAATCACCACTAATACCGTACCGGAGGAGTTCAAGGAGGCCAGAGTTACTCCTATCTTCAAGAAAAATAGTAGGTCTGATGTAAGCAACTATAGGCCTGTTAGTATACTCAGTATAATATCTAAAATTCTAGAGAGGGCGGTGTACTCTCAAGTAGTTAAGTACCTTAATGACAACAACATTCTCCATAGCTATCAATCGGGCTTTAGAAGAACCTACTCAACCGACACCTCCATTATTAATCTGATGGATTACCTGAGAACTGAAATGTCAAAGGGGAACCTCACAGGTATGGTAACCTTAGACCTGCAAAAGGCCTTCGATACTGTCAACCACAATATATTATGTAAGAAACTTCAAGCTATCGGTATAGGTTCTGTAGACTGGTTTAAGTCCTACCTTAGCAACAGGAGACAAATAGTCAAAATCAACAAAACGGAATCAGAACCCCTGCCGATAAGATGTGGAGTTCCCCAAGGTAGTATTCTGGGTCCCTTATTATTCTTATGTTATGTCAATGACATGCCTATCAGTGTCAAGTGCAAACTCCTACTGTATGCAGATGACAGTGCTCAGTGTCAGGTAAAGACCCACAAGATATTGCTAATGTTTTAACACTGGAACTGGAGTCCTGCAGCAAATGGTTAGTAGACAACAAACTATCATTACACCTCGGGAAAACTGAAGCCATTCTCTTTGGCACGAAACATAAACTGAGAAGGGTAAATAATTTTAATGTTCAGTGTAATGGGGAGCCCATCACTTTGGTTTCATCAGTAAAATATCTGGGAATCCCCTTTGACCCATGCATGTCAGGAAGAATTGATAGGGAACAATGTAGTAAAGAAAGCGAATGTCAGACTGAAGTTCCTGTATAGACAAGCACAGTGTCTACCTACTGAGGCTCGCAGGACCCTATGTCTAGCCCTTATACAATGCCATATGGATTACGCTTGCTCTTCATGGTACTCTGCCTTGACAAAAAAACTGAAAGATAGACTGAAAATCACCCAGAACAAAATCGTAAGATTCATCCTGGGGCTGGGACCAAGAGAACATGTAGGCCAGGATGAATTACAGCAGTTGGATATGCTGAATGTTGAAGACAGAGTAAAACAACTGAAGCTAAATCATGTTTATAAAATTGCTCACAAACAGTGTCCAGAATATCTTGCTGTCAATTTTGTCAAGGTTGGGAACCAAAGCAATCATAGTACTAGGGGATGGGAGCACAACTTTGTAGTACCCACAGTTAGTGGCCAGGCTTCAAACACCTTTTATTGTACAGCAATAAAGGAATGGAACAGACTGCCTGCACATGTCAAAGCCAGTCTTAGCATGAACCAGTTCAAGAAGAGTGCCAAAAGGTGTCTGATGAATGTAGCTACAGAAAGGGAGGGGAATGATTTTCTATTTTTTTAGCTAACATACGTGTAAATTTTACCTTATTCCTAGTAATGACCCTCGTATTGTAGATAGTCTTAATGACCCTCGTGTAGTAGATAGTCTTTTTAGTATGATAATAAGATGTTATCTTCATTGTAGAATAATAAGAAAATATTATAACCTTTATATTATAATAATAAGGTAAAAGGACCCCAATGGAAATAAGTCAATGTGTCTGACTTTTTTGGGTTATCCCAGGTTCTCTACACATATGCTGCTATGTATGATAATTCTATGTAACTGTATTTGTGTATACCTGAATAAACTTACTTACTTACTTATTATAGCCATTAGGAATGTGCAGCATGTGTGTGGAGAAGTTGCTTATATACTGCAGTCAGGTGAGCAGAAGCAGGAGGAGGCAGTCACCATCGGATTGAGGCTTTCACAAATTATCGCAAAAATAATATTTATATTTAAAAAAAAAAAGTCAGTAAAACTGACAGATTGGCACCTACATATCCCAAGACCTGTCTCTTAAAAGTAGAATTAATACAACAACATTTAAGGTTTAAAGTCAACCAGAAGAGGCATTTTCTATTTGTTGCAAAGAAACCAATGTGTTTAATAAAATTAGCGAAATTAAAACTCATACAGCCCAAAATCACTGCGAACTTTTCACCGATCAAAACCCACCATCGCTCGAAGTTTCAACCCGGGTCAGAGAAGCATTCCTCAGTTTTGCTTGGAATCTAACGACTTCAGGTTTATTAACTATGTTAGGAAACTGACAGATTTGCATCTACAACACCTAGACTATTGAGCACCATCATTTTAATAAGATGCATCAGCCGCTAGAGGCTGAAGCCGTTCAGATGAGGCATACTCAGGTTATCTCAGGAAAAATATACAGCATTTTAAAAATAAAATTGGTACATTTACCACTACACACTCCATTAACAATACAAACCTTCTTCTAAAGACCAATGAGAAGAGACTTTCGCACGGAAGCCAAATACGGAATAGTCTATAAAATTGAGCTCGAGGTACCTGCATTTACCAATAGTTGCTTGATCCTTTCCCAACTGGATGAGGCGTTTTCAAGATACACATGAAAACCTTGGAAGGAAAAAAACATTTAGGCAACCACTTAAAAGGCATCCCTTTGGGAATACGTAAATCAGTATATTTAAGACGGAAGAGTTGAGAAACTGACGTTGGAAACTTCTTGAGAAAATTAAAGCAAAAATGAGGATAGGTTACAGCGGCTCGTAGTTGACTGGCTGTATGACCCTTATGGATTTAGCGCTTGGTTTTGACAATAATAATAAAAACGTAGTTGAGAGGGTAGGGAGTTTTTGTCTCAGCTCCCGGTTCAACCTCTTAACCACACTCCACCGGCTTCACAGGTTTCTGTCTCGTGGTCCCTTTTATACCTAGCCTTAAAACTGACCACGGTATTTGTTTCCACCACCTCTGAAGTTGTGCTTCCTAACCTCACTCACCACATTTATCAGTGCTTTTGCCTGGACAAGCTTACGTTTTGCAGGCTTTGCAAAAATTTTCTTGCGCGACTAAGTTAATCGGTGTCATATCTGATGCATACGTCTTCCCACCTCTTCCCGTCCGAGTTTACATACATACCTGAGAGATGTCGTCTTCAGAAAGGTCCGGTAAGCCAAGATCATCCTGAGTCAAGTCATAGTGAGCAGCAGCGGCAGAAGGGGTGTGCTGGGTTGGTGTGACGCTGGTGCTGCTGGAGCTGGCTACTCCTTGTCTGATGGAGGTGCTTTCCTCCCCCCATTTCCTCCTCGTACCACTGGGTAACATACACTAGGGTTGTATTAATCATCGCTGATAGATACATTGTTAGGATTAAAGTCTATTGATTTCACGAGGGTTATTAAGACTGCAGTTCACTAAATTACTAACTAGCAGTGATACTTGACATTCTAAAAATATTAAATAAGCTTACTGTGTATATAGAGAAATAGAAATAATCCCTTACTCCTTCCATAAAATATAACCTCCGAAAAAGACACAACAGCAAATTTAGCAATGAATTTTCTTACGTGTTGTAGTGTAATAACAGAAAAAGTCAATGTAAATTTGGACCAATTAAGTGAAGAAACACCAGGCTAGAAGAAGTATGTGGTGCACCTAATCTTGCAGTATTGCTCAGACAACAGTAAGCTACAACACCAGCAGAGATCATCACCTGGGCAAGTCAACAGAGTGCTCATCTCCGCTCGCAGACGTTGGTAGTAATATTGTGCTATCACCATGGAAATGAGTTGGGGTACGCAGGGGATACTGACTACTGCTGCTCCTCGAAGAAAGTCCTCTTTTTCTTGAGGCTGGAGTGTATGGTGTATTGAAGGTGGTTCTGGCAGACAACGCCGAGTAGTTAGTTCCTTGTACGTTGGGGGACGATTTGGTGAGGTAGTCAGAGGGGAGACTCTTGTGAAGCAGCGGCGTGGTGGAGGTACAACTCTGGTTCAGGGTCTCTCTCCGGTATGGCCACAATGATCCGCTCACGTCATGGGAGGAACTGCAGAGACATAAAGCACAAAGGATGGGTAAGCAGTGTCGGACAGAAATCTTTACGCTCTTCATAACCACAACATATCACTCCAACAGCGATGAGAGTTTTCAAGATAGCCAGCATACCCTCCGTAAGCAGTATATTAACATGGTCATCTCGCCCAGCTATTATAGTACAAAACAGAAGCTACAGCTGAATAACCCACAAGATAAATATATTTTGTATATAAGCCTGTAGACTGTTTAAACATTTTACTGTAATCAATACTCTCAATACTGTTTTTCAATGAAAATTTTACTTCAAAAATTAAAATATCGAGTAATAAAGGGGAAAAAACCACTTGGAGATACAGGCTATTACAGCATTATGCCGTCCCTTCCCCACGCACTACCAAAACACAAACACAAACTAAAAATTATAAAAAAATATAATAATAAATAAAATATATAAATATAAAAAAATATAAAATAAATATTATATAAATATATAAATATATATATAAAAATATATATAAATATATAAGTCGGCCGAATGGGCAAATTTGCGATCTTGGCTTAAATAGAAACGCCACTTGCCATATGGGACAAGTGAAAATTTTTATCAATTTTTTCGCCAAAATCATTCTGAACCTAACGAAAAAAAATATTTACACTTTTTTTTAGATTAAAATTTATTGAAACAATCAAAATATTTTTTATTTGGGGTTAGGCAAAAAAAAATTGTTCTTGTTATAATAAGGTTAGGAAATTTTCTAAGATTTTTTGTGCAAAATAAAAATAATTTACATTAACTTTTGAATGGGGGCTTGCTACCATCTCAGCTCAAAGACTCCCATCCCCAAAACCCCCCTTTGTGGGGGGGTAGAGGGGCAGACCAAGGCCTAGCTTCCCCTAGACCCCTGAGGGGGGGGAATGGGCAGGCCGGGGGCCCCTTTGGCCCCCCAAAGAGAGGGGGTACTTGTACCTCCCCCCAAGGAACTTAATCTCGAGACACCCCCGATGGGACCCAAAGGGCCGGGCCCAAATTTGGAAAAGACCCGGACCGGGAGAACCGGCGATAATAATAAAAAAAAAAACATTAATGAAAAAATATTTTTAAAAAACGTTTTTTAAATTTTTTTAAAAAAACACACTGGCCGTTTCCCCACCGGGCGGGGGGGCCCGAAAAAGAAAAATTTTCACCTCTTCACTCCATCACGTTTCAAAGGGGTGCTTTACACTACGTTTTTAAACTGCAACATTAACACCCCTCCTTCGAGTGCGGGAAACGTATTTCCCCCATCTCCGGGGACTAAAGTCCGCCCTCCCGTTTCCCCTGAATCCCTTCATAAATGTTACTTGCTCACACTCCAACAGCACGTCAAGTAAAAAAACCCATTTGTCCCTTCACTCCTATAAAACACGCCACCATGCGCTGGAAGCCCAAGCCCCTCGCCACAAAACCCCTTTTACCCCCCCCCCCAAACCCCTTCCTAGGCCGCCCCCTACCCCCCCCTTCCTCCACACAGACTGAACACCTTGAAGTCATCTTTTTCCCCCATTTCTCTCTACAGTCCGAACCACCTCAACAACCCTTCCTCAGCCTCGGGACAACAGTTTTGGTAATCCCGCACCCCTCCTAATTTCCCAAACTACGAATTCTCTGCATTATATTCACACCACACTTTCCCTCAACATGAACCCGCCTCCACCCTTTTCTCCTCGCTGCAACAATCACCCACCTTCACACCCATATAAGAGCTTTGGGAAAAAACTAACTCCCCCTACTTCCCCCCTTTTTCCCCCAAAGGGACAAATTTTTTTTGTCCCCACGACTCCTAAGTGCACCACCACTTTTTTTCCCCTCAAAATTTCATGATTCACCTCACTTTCATAGCCCCAAACCGCTGACACTCCACCCCAAATTTCTAAATACGTTCACCTCCTCCATACTCTCTCCCCCCAATCTGAATTCTTTTTTTTCACACCTAATCTTTTGTTATCCCATAACCTTTTACCTTTCTGTTTTCATTTTTAAATTTTTCCCTTCTTTTGCACACCCTCCCAAATTCATCCACCAATCTCTGCGTTCTCTTCAGAATCCCCCAAAGAGCACAGTGCATCACAAAGAGCAGCGTGACAACTCCCACTTTGTGTTGATTCTTTACTTTTAACTCCCGCCTTTTGCCAAGCCCCCTCGCATTTACTTCCTTCAACCCCACTATAAATATATTAAACAACCACGGTACATCACACATCCTTGTCAAAGGGCCACTTTTACGGGAAAAAAATTTTTCCCCTTTTTCCACATCCAAATTTGAGCCTCACTATCCTCGTAAAACCTTCACGCTTTCATAACCTACCCCTACACCATACACTTGCAACATCTGCCACATTGCCCCCCTATCCCCCCCTTCTACGCCTTTCCAAATCCATAAATCCCACAAAGCCCTTTTTACCTTTTCAAAATACTTTTTTCACTTAATTTTTCACTGTAAACACCTGGTCCACACACCCCCACCTTTCCAAAAGCCTCCTTGTTCACTGCTATCCTATTCTCCTCTTACTTTTAATTCTTTCATTATAACTCTCCCATACTTTTTACCAGGTACACTCAACAGACTTATCCCCCTAAAATTTTTTTGCACCTCTTTCCCCCCTTTTCCCTTTTATAAAAAGGAACTAGCATCCTCTGCCAATCCCAAGGTACCTTACCCTCCCATACATTTATTAAAAAATTGCACCAACCACTCCAAAAATATCCCCACCTCTTTTAACATTTCTATCTTTATCCCATCAATCCCGGCCCCTTTACCCCCTTTCATTTTCCTACTGCCTCACAAACTTCCCCCACACCCAAAACTGGCTCTTCCCACTCCTACAAGATGTTATTCCCCCTTTTGCCCATACACAAATCCGCTTCCCTATCTTCACAACATTTAAAAATTCCTCAAAATTTTCCCCCATTTTTCCCAATACCTCAACCTCCATTTAATAACCTCCTCTCCTATTTTTAACTAAAAAAACCATTTGTTCCTAGGCTTTTAAAATTGTTAATCTCACCCAAAACTTTTTTTATTTTAAACAAAATTGTTGATAACACTCACCCACTCTCTCATTTGCTCTCTTTTTACATTGCTTCACCACCCCTTTACCTCTCTCTTTTTTCTCCATAACTTTTCCCCCTTGCCATTTCTACTTTGAAAAACTTCTATATCTAATTTTTTCCCCCTTACTACCTTTTTACACATTTTTCCCCCAATCGCTCCTCTTCCCTCCTGCACCCATTTTCCTGTAAACCCAAACTTCTGCTAAAACCTCTAACACTACATTTTTAAACCCCCCCATACCTCTCGACCCCTTTGCCTATGCTCTCATTGCCCATCTACCCTCCAATGGGGTTTTATACTTCCCCTAACGCCCCCTCTTTTAGTTTAAAACCTTCACCCCTCTTTCCCTGAGTTTCTATTCTTTTTTATCCCATCTCCCTTTTTACTCTCAGTGTAGATCCTAGAAAAATGCTATAATCTGTGGGCCCCTCTATAAACATTAAACCTGAAGTCACTCAACAGTCTTTTATCTACCAATAAAAAACCAACAAAAATACGTCATTTTGCCACCATATGTGTATACTTATTTTTCCTCTTTTCTTAAAATATTATACCTATAACTAAAACCCCTTCTATACAAAAATTTTAATCAAAGGGCTCCCATTTTTCATTTAAAAACCCCGGCCCCCCCCAAACAAACCAAACCCCACCCCTCTAAAAATTTCTCCTACTTTACATTTAGGGCCCCTACCACAATTCTCTCTCACTTGGTTCTAAGGGTCCTATACATTCACTTTAAAATCCCCAAAATCTCCTCTCCCTCTGATTCCTTCTCTCCGGGCAACACGCTTATTTTGACCCACTTTTCGCATCCAAACCCTTTTCTTTAATCCACATAATTCTTGAATTTACACATTCATATTTTCTTTCTCCTTTCCCTAACTGATCATTTAACATTTCTGCTACCCCTTCCTTTTCTCTAACTCTCTCAGATACTCCGATTTTTAAACCCCCTTTTTTCCCCCCAAATGAAACCTCCTACCCCCTTTACTTTTTTTTTCGCTTAGACCAGGACATCCAACTTCTTTTCATTCATAACATCAGCAATCATCTGTTTCTTGTCCCCCTACTCCACCACATTTAAACATCCCAGTTTTTTAAAATTTTTTTTTTCTTCTCTTTTTTAAAAAGTAACGGAGAAGGGTTACTAGCCCCTTGCCCCGGCATTTTAGCTTTAAAGTAAAAGAAAAATTCAGAAAGGACTTATTTTTTTAAAAGAGTTCTTGCTAATTTACCGTTTTACATATTCGGGACGACATTTTTATAATATATATATATAAATATATATAATATATATATATATATATATAAATATAAATATATATATAATATATATATAATTTTATTATCACACCGCCATTCCCCCCAAGGCAGGGGGCCCGAAAAAGAAAAACTTTCACCATCTTACTCCATCACTGTCTTGCCAGAAGGTGTTTAAAACTACAGTTTTTAAAATGCAACATTAAAACCCCTCCTTCAGAGGCAGGCACTGTATTCCCATCCCAGGACTCAAGTCCGGCCCGCCGGTTTCCCCCGAATCCCCTTTAAAAATTTACTTTGCTCACACCCAACGCAGTCAAATATTTAAAAACCATTTGTCTCCCTTCACTCCTACAAACAAAGCTCACGCAGCCGCTGGAAGTCCAAGCCCCTCGCACACAAAACCTCCTTTCCCCCCCCCCTCCAACCCTTCCTAGGGCCCACCCCTACCCCGCCTTTCCCTTCCATACAACTGATACACTCTGAAGCCCTTCTGTTTCGCTCCTTTTCCCACATGTCCCAACCACCCCAACAAACCCTTTCCCCACCCCTGGACAACAGTTTTTTTGGGAATCCCCCACCTCCTCCTAACTTCAAACCCAAATTTTCTGCTTAATCCACCACACATTTCCCTCAACAAACATCTCCACTGCCTCCA